ACTTGTTTTTCCAAGTGTTTCACGTAATAAATCTTTCAACATCCTTATGAGTCGTTCCCACCAACCACTCTACCAGAGGGTCCTTATTCTTGAAACAGGTGGAGCAGCGTTCCCGGGAGAACGAGTGTTCCGTCTTTCTCAATGATATGCAACTGATAATGTAGGTAACAAAGACGGAACATTCGTTCTCTCGGGAACGCTGCTCCCCTGATTCAAGAATTAGGATCCAGGCAGCTGTATGACGATTCATTCTCCATTCAATTTTCTGTATAGTGGGTACTACAGTTTTCTGCTACTTTTGACCAATCTATATCTTCTAAAGCATTGACACATCCAACGAAATTCGTTCCACATTCGGAATAAATTGTTGAAGGTCTACCTCTACGAGCAATGAATCTTCTTAACGTCTGTAGAAAGGCATTACTGGATAAGGATGAAGTCAAATCAAGGTGAACAGCACGGTAGATGGCAACAGTACGATCCACCCTTTTTGGTTAGATTTGAGGCGTAAAGAGCCAGCTGAATCTATTCCGATAATCTCAAACACTGCAGCATCCCGTACTCTGTTCTCCGGTAAACATATGGCGGGATCCTGTTCGATACTCGAGTATGATAGTATCTAACAATTTACCTCGAAAACGTTTACATAGTACATCCATTAACAACTGATTTAACAATGCGTCTGCATTGAAGAATCCAATAGTTTTCCCTTAAAATGCTCATCAATCCTTTTACACCAACATGGTTGTTTTTACTGTGTTCTTCGAAAATAAGACGTTTAACAACAACATGATTTAAGATTAAAACATACGATATACGAAAGGTTTCTGTAGTTATCAATTCTGTCTGATATCTTAGTAGATATGGTAATGGGGGCACCTGAGCCTGGGAAATTTTTCGATACCGCGGGAAAATCTCTAGATCGGCGGGGCTTTTGATCTGAAATTTCGAGGATTTGACCCGGGTCGGGGTCAACCCCAAATTTTTCGACGTCATGATGTTATCGGTGTCGCCATCTAGCGTACACAGTTCCTATTACAGGATGCCGTAGTGGTGAATAAGGAAATTTCGTGAATCATCATCCCGCCGAAGTTTAATGTGGAAACAAACAGGGGTATCATGTTTCACGGTTATTTCTACTTATAACTGTTTCCATTCTAGCAAAAACAACAAGCTCAGAGTTGAATTTATATTTTGTCGATGATAAATATGCATGTATATTTTCACTGCCGGCGAACTATATGTATTTGAAGATATTCCAGCCCATAGCCCCAAAATACTTCCAGTCATCGATAAACGGACATAAAGGTGACAATTTGGGGTCATTTTCGGACTGAAAACTTTCTTCTTGCATGAAACGAATGACAACTTTTCTTGACACTTCTAATTCCTTTGGTGTCAAAAACTTCTTGGTTTCGGTATTCTTCTACGTATTCTTCTTTTTGCAGTTCAAATCGTAGCATCCACGCAATCATCTTGACTATTTCGTTGAATTTTGATAAATACAGGAAATACCATAAAAAATCTTTGGTTACAGTCAAAGAAGAAACTACAGTCTTTCTTTTCTCCTTAGTAACATCTTCTTCGTCGCACTAAAAATTTTAACTTCGCCACTTTGAAACCAGATCAATAAACCATCGAGGTCCCTCCCACGATCTTCTTTCAGCTAGTGATTTCGCAGAACAGCCTCTTGAAGGAAGATCTGCTGGTTTCAATTGACCAGGAACACGGAACCAATCTTCAGGTTTGGTAAACTTTTTTATTTCTTCCACACGATTCCAGATGAACAGTTTCCACTGGTCTTCTCTCCTAATCCAAGATGAAACTGTTGATGAATCTCACTAAAAGAAAACTTCAAGTTTTAAACCGTGATTATTGTAAAAGTTTTGAAATAATCGTACACCAATGGTAGCAGCTAAAAGTTAGACGAGGTATAGTTAACTTCTTGACAGGTGCCACTCTAGATTTTATTTGCTTCAATTAGTTTTGGAAAAACTTGACCTTCATCTACTTCTGTCCCTAAAAAAATACAAGCTGCATATGCGTCAGCACTTGCATCATAGAAGACATTATGTAAAGACTAAGTAGTCGATTCTTTAAAATCTGTAGCTATCCATCGAGAAACTTGTAAGCTACACTCCCGAGTACACTACTCATCTTCAAAAACATGTCTGTTCCACAAACTAGTCAGAGCGAATTTCATTGGTTGAAAACAGTCAGAAAACTAGTTTCAACCAATGAAATTGACGTTTTCAATTAAAAGAGATGGACAATAAAGTATGAAAACAATCATTTTCCCGCCAACATTTGCTTGCTTGTCAATGCCAGCGTGTATTGGGTGTTTTGGAAGAAAATGTGGGAAAAGTCACTACTTCATTTGCAGAACTTCGCTATGGAGAAAGCGGTGGATTATTTTGGAAGCAAACAGCTCCCGCAAACTAAACTTGAACGTGGATTACTTTGTATACTTGATAGGCCGTGGATTTCCCTTTTTTTTGCGAGTATTCTTTCTGATTTTATGTATCCAAAATTTGACAAATGTAGGATTTGATGGAAACTTATGGAGAGACACGTCCGCCGGTAAATAGGAATTATTTTTACAAAAAGGCACACTACACAATCACCATTGTTAGGAAAAAACTTTGAAAAAACCGAGGAAATAATAGTTTCCAGTTTCCACATGTACAATAATCTTGTCAACAAACCACTGTCAGCGGCTGTCAACCGTTGTTTTCATACTATTTTGGCGTCTGACAGTTTGACGCCAGAGAGAGAGGCTTTTAAATTGAAAAGGTCAATTATCTCTGACTGGTTTGTGATTTCTGCAGAAACAGACCTATATCAAACATGAAAATTTTGTGAAAGTTACTCCACTTCTCCATGGTGTAACATTGGGAAACTTTGCTTTTGGAGTGAGCTGAGCTGGTTTCTCACGGTTACTTTGTTGAAACTGGTTCAGAACAGGTTTGAAACAGTTTACATTTGGCCAAACATAAAACTGGTACAGGTAATATATATTTGTTAAATTAGCCTAGTGTGAGTCAGGCTTAACAACAAAAAGTCTCGTCTGAAAAACTAGGTCAGTCAGTTTTTGTCAATGTCAAAGCTGAACAAAAGTAAATGCAACTTGAATGTTATGTTTGGTTCAAAGTTGACACTGACTTGACTCTTTTTGTCATTTTTGAAGTGATAAAAAAGGCCGATTCACACAATACCACACCATAGAAAAAGGCGTACCAGTTTTATGATTGGCCGTGTATATTCTTGCGATGAACCCATGACGTCACATAAAAATTTGTTCAAACCGTTTCGAAATACAATCCAATCCACGTTTTACAACAATGGCATGTAATATTCAAAGTTTAGTTGTTGAAGAGGGCGCTTCTGTACTTGGAGCTTTTTAAATTGTGGCGCGTAAAAAACCGAGTGTAGTTTTGGATTACAGTTTACATTGACCAAATTCTCGCGACGAACTACTTCCAAGATTTCATGAACACAAACACTTTCGCGAGAAACTCATGATGTCATATTGAACTTAGTTTGCCGGAAGCATGGATGCAGCTTCTAGCTAGCGTTCAAACTCATGACGTCACGAAACGAACTATTGATGAACTACATTCGTCGCGAAAATTCGGTTATTATCTACGCGTTGTTGACACCAGAACGTAGGCAATCTTTATTTACGCGTAGATGCCCATCCCTGGGTACAGAAACCGGTGAATTTTGGAAAGTGCCCTGTTATGACGTCATGAACACTGTTTTTAAACGTTAAACATTTGAGACGCGAGAAAAAACCTCTGGGCTGCGTTCAAAAACGGCTAAAGCCGAGCCAAAATTGGCATATTGCGTTCAAGTTCGGCTCCAGCGTGCCAAAAACGTGTGGCTTTACACGTTCCAAATCGGCCGCGGTAAAGTAACTTTTGGAGGCTCTTTCAACTGAGTCTAGAAATGGTTATACGAATTTTGATTGGATGAGACCAAATTCAATATGGCGTGGCGACCAGCAAGTTAGTTTTGATTATGTGTTTTCATGCATATTTCAATTATTTTGTTTGTTTGCAGCTTCGATTTTGATTATTCAATAAAATATTTGTTAACTAATTACGTAAACTATTAAGTCGGGCAGAAACTAGATATTTTTTGTGTTTTTTGGTCCATGTATGGTCGCCACGCCATATTGAATGTCAAGTGGTTTGGATTGCTTATTGAGAAATGGTATTTGGCGTTCCAGCGAATTCACACCAGATTTGGCATCGCCGGTATAGTCCGACAAATACCATTTTAAAGTCACGTGATACTGGTGGCAAAAAACGTATGTCCATTGATTATGTCGTTGATATCACCTACAAAAAGCTACTGGTGGTTAATTACTATTGAATTTTAATATATGTTCCCACTAGCATTTTACAAACGCGTTTCTGAAGTAGTATTGACCAATCAGAGGGCAATTTTAATACTTGCAATTGTTGCGAGACTCACTTTTGTCGCATCTGCTGTCTGTTGTAATTCATTCTGAACTTAAACTGGGTACCCGTTTTCTATTTGCTTCTTTTCGAGTTGGAAAAAGGTTAATATAGTCAAAATTATTAGCTGTGTTTGTTCGTTGTATTATTTTCGAAAATAACTTTGACAAACTCATTGATGACAGTGACGGATTCTATTTCAGGTAAGAATATTATGAACAATAATTAGACAGCAATTTTTTTGTCAATTTTACTATCACCGCTGTTTGAGATATATTCAACAAGGATAGAGAAAAATCACGTGACTTTAAAATGGTATTTGTTGGACTATAGTAGGTTTTGGCATTAGCATTGCCGTCTTTGAACCTGGACTAGTGGAATTACTCGACTCCGAACGGTCGGAGTACTAAGAGTGCACAGAGCTATAGCCAAACCCAGCTAAGGTGTTTTCAAAGAGCGAACGAAAACACAAAATTTAAATTTTAAATTAAAAATTAATTACCTTATCCTATTGCGGTCAACAATCAACAATGCGAAAAAAGCCATAAATCTGTTGTTTATTACTTTTAAATTGAAAAACTGCTGACATGGATTCAAAGTTCAATCAAAAAAAACTTTCACTTTAATTTTAATTTAATGTGAGGAACCACAGATACCGTAGGTAGGTTTTAGCCTTAAGTTGATTTTTAAATAATATTTTCAATTAATAAACAAACTGGCATTGCTTATGCTTAATTAAGCCACCCCAAATTAAAAAAAATTGCGATAAAAAGTGCACTTTACTCTGGTTCCAATGTCTATGGTCCATTGAACCAGATAGTAACACATTTTTGGAAAACTCCGGATAATGCTGAATTTTTTCCTCATTTTTAGATAAATCCAAACAGTCCAAATATGGGAATACTTATAAATATAACAGTTTTTGTCCGTTATTACTTGGATTTACTAATAGACAAACTATTTGGGTTATGTTATGATCCGACGCGAGAATACATTCCACCAATCAAAAACCCAATTTTATTAGAAAGCGCCACTTCTTTAGCAAAAAAAATTAAAAAACACGAGCTAACATCACAAGAAATCGTTAAAGCATTTATTGATAGAATACACGAAGTTAATCCGATAATAAATGCGCTGGTAGACGAACGGTTCAATGAGGCTTTAAAAGAGGCTGAAAAAATTGATGAAGATATTGCAAGTGGCACTATTATGGAAGTAGATTTCCAAGAGAAACCTTTCTTAGGCGTACCTTTCACGTCCAAAGAATCAACAGCGTGTGAAGGTCTTTCTTGGACATTCGGCATAAAAAAACGCAAAGGAAAAAAGGCTAATTTTGATGCGGCTTGTATAAAATCCATGAAACAAGCAGGAGCAATTTTATTAGGCGTCTCCAACGTACCCCAACTAAATCTATGGCAAGAAACTAGCAATCCTGTATATGGATTAACTAAAAATCCTTATAATACAACTAGAAATGTTGGTGGTTCTTCGGGAGGCGAATCCAGCCTATTAGCTGCTGGTGCAACACCTTTAGGGGTGGGTACCGATATTGGTGGTTCTTGTAGAATACCTGCATTCATGTGTGGCGTTTTTGGGCATAAAATAACCAATAATCTTGTCTCAACTGAAGGTTTAACTTTCAGAACTGGTGAAGAAACTGATAGTATGGTTTCTGTTGGTCCTATGACAAGATTTGCTAGAGATCTAGCGCCTTTTATAAAAGTACTAGTTGGAGGGGCGAATGCTGGAAAATTGAATTTAGATCTGCCAGTTTCTATTAAGAAATTGAAAGTTTATTATGTTACAGATCCAGGAGATTCTTTAATGAGTCCTTTTAGGAATGAAATGAAAAAAGTATTGATGAAGTAAGTTATTATAGTTTTTGCAAGCTATTTCTAAATCAAAATTTTTAGAGCTGTAGCTCATTTAGAAGAAACTTGCGATCTGAAACCCCAAGAATTGGTCTTCCAAGATTTGCAGTATCAATATAAAATTTGGAAATATTGGATGTCTGTTGAAGGCAACAATTTCAAAAACGAAATTAATGATAAAAAAGGGGAAGTGAGTCCGATGAAAGAAATCCTTAAACATTTCACTGTGGGTGGTGATTTTACTACAGCTACAGTATTAAACCTAATGAATGGATATCTTAAAACTGCAAATATGGTTGATATGACGAAAACTTTAAAAGAAGCCTTTTTGGTGAGTCAAATTTAAAACATTTAAAATATACTATATTTAAAAATATTTCAGACAAAATTGGACGACAACAGCATACTTTTATACCCATCAGCACCGTTTCCAGCTAGCTACCATCACACGGCCTTAATAAGACCTTACAATTTTGCTTGTTTCGCTATATGGAATGCAATGAAATTTCCTGCAACCCAAGTACCAATGGGCTTGAACAAAGACAGCTTGCCTTTGGGAATTCAAGTGGTAGCAGCTCCATATCAAGATAGATTATGTGTAGCTGTTGCCAAGGAATTGGAAACTGCTTTTGGTGGCTATGTACCACCAACTGTTAGTGGACAGTAAAAAAGTTGTTATTTTGTGTTATTTTGAAGATTTGACTATAATTTATTTTTTGATATTTCACATTTCACTAAGAAAGTGTTAAGTTTGTATTTTAATGTTTGCTCTCCTAATAATTATTAGGAGTAAGAAAATCAGAAATAATATTTTTACAACTATAAAGGGTTTGAAGAAGTCAAATGGTGGTTTTATGCATAATCAATTGTATAACTTTTCATTGGTTTGGTACATAATTTCTAATTATATTATTATTTGAATAATGTTTGGCATTTTATATTATCCTCCTTGAACCTTTCCCCTAGAAATTAGTTTTTTTTTTCTGAAATCATGAGCCAAACCCAAACAATATCCTTACCTGAGAAGGTCCTGCAATAGGCTCATCATATTGACTATCCATTGGAGTAGATTCCTCGCTAGATTCATCATATTGATCATCAGTATCCTCCTCATTAACATTATTCTGCGTGTGTGGCATCAAAGTTTCATTAGGTACATCCTGCCAAAGTTCCTTACAAACGGGACAAGTACTTTGGTTAGTCAAATACTTCTGCAAGCAATGTGTATGCAGTAATCGACCACATGATCCACATTTTTTGCCAGTGAATACCAACTCCGAGCATAATTTGCAAGTTTGATCTGGCCTGTGGGTCATCAGATAAGAGGTGAATTCTAAAATAAGCCTTGGGCCTAAATGAACATATTCTCCGTTCTTGATAAAATAGCCAGACTTTATCCATTTTGTCAGCAGTGTTTGTCCATTAACCCTTGTAAAAGATGCAGTGAGGGTCGAAGTGATATTGACCACAACGATATATTTCAATCTGTAATCCTCAGAGTTGAGAATTTCTTGTAGAATGGCATGGAAATACTCTAGTTCGATGGCCTTGAATGTGATTTGCAACTTTGAGATGTTGTCGTTTTTTGTGTTGGCCCAAATGAAAAGATCTTGGCCGGTTACTTCGCAAGTCGTGTTTGCTATTTTGAAATATTGTTTGGATATTTCTCTGTTTATGACTATTATTGAGTACTTTAATTGGACTAGGTCTTGAATGGACCCTGAAACAGATTATAGGAAGTTTGATTCTGATTCCGTTAAAGCTTAATAATTACCTTGTGGAATTTTTTGACAAATAGCTAAAGCCTTCTGCACTGGAACTGTACCATTTTTTATCATATACTGAACGAAATATTTCTGCTGAATATCCATTGTCTTGAATTAAGCAAACAGTAATAGAAAATCAAGAAAAACTAAAAAAAACAGAAAAGTTCTACAGCAAAACAGCGGTTTTTTGAGGTTATGTTTATCTATTTATGTTTTCAAATTTTGAATTTCCGTTGTCGCCGACATTTGACATTCCATGTCAGGAATGACAATTAAAGGTGTTTTCATTTGTAAGTACTGAACTGCACCTATTGGACTACTAAAGGTGGGTTCGGCTTGCTCACTCCGTGCACTCCGAGTGACTCCATTCGCACTCCAGCCGTTCGGATATTACTTTTTGGCGTATTAGGGGTGACTCCATTAGCGTTCGACTATACGGAGTGGAGTAAATGGAGTTCACTTCAAAAGTTCCACCTCGGAAAGAGACTTTTTTAAAGTTAGCATGCGCAGAAGTGAAATGTGGAAACTGTCAAGCTTGCGGTGGTTGCTGTTGAAAAAATTAAAAATCGTTTATGTGTGGATACGGGAATTGGTAAAATAATTGATCTGATTTTAACATTAGCCGCTTTCCAGCTGATTTGTGTTTGTGCTTTAAGCACGGTGCAGCACAGTGTTTTGTGTTTGAAGCGCAAAAGCTAGTAGTTCTCGAAGCGCAGTACGGCTGGAACACGAACACAAACGCTCGATTGCGTGCTCAAAATGGTCAGCTAGAAAGCGGCTATTGATGTATTAAACGCATGTTGGCATCATATTATTTATTATTTTGAAGAAAATTGAAGTTAATTTATAATAAACGAAAGACCAAAGACAAAAGTGAAAAAAATTTGAGAACTGGAACGTTGTGAAGTCACGGTTGACTGTTGTTTTGATGCAAAAACAATAAAGCTGTTTGACATTTTTGCTCCGACCGTTTCGGTCGTTCGTGTATTAATTTTTCACTCTAATCACTCCTAGATCACGTGAAAAAAATCTGTTCTTACTACACTCCAACTCCGTGCTGAATAGCCGAACCCAGCTTAAAAAGTTTGCTCTAGAGAAGAGTTTATAGATATTCAACTATATACGATATTTTTAATCATTCATATGGATATTGAGATGAGAAAATATCGATATTTTCGATACGATTCTCTGATTTTTTTAAGACTGCCTGGATCTAGCACTAAATTGGATTGCTTTTACTGTGGCTTTTATTTTACAAGGATCTGTGGTGAAATAGAAGATGAAATGTCTGAGTAATTTAAATCAAATTAGTGCAAATGGAACAGAATAGGGAACTTGCACATTAAATCAAATATGAAATAAATAATAAAATACAATAACAATCATCCTAATAAATGATGCAATTAGGAAAAGGATATAATATCTTATCTCTGGTTTTCAAAATCTTCAATTGAAAATACCAAATAAATCGAAATTCTTGACGAGATCAAAAACGTATTTCTATGAGTCCTGACACGTCAAAGGGCAGTAATAATCGGGTGGCACCGCTGCCACGCCATGTGCTGCTGGTGTTGTCAATGTCAAATCTATCATAAACGGCATATAGTCCAACAAATACCATTTTAAAGTCACGTGATTTTTCTCTATCCTTGTTGAATACATCTCAAACAGCGGTGATAGTAAAATTGACAAAAAAATTGCTGTCTAATTATTTTTCATAATATTCTTACCTGAAATAGAATCCGTCACTGTCATCAATTAGTTTGTCAAAGTTACAAACACAGCTAATAATTTTGACTATACTCGAAAAGAAGCAAATAGAAAACGGGTACCCAGTTTAAGTTCAGAATGTATTACAACAGACAGCAGATACGACAAAAGTGAGTCTCGCAACAATTGCAAGTATTAAAATTGCCCTCTGATTGGTCAATACTACTTCATAAACGCGTTTGTAAAATGCTAGTGCTAGTGGGAACATATCCTAAAATTCAATAGTAATTAATCACCAGTAGCATTTTGTAGGTGATATGAACGACATAATCAATGGACATACGTTTTTTGCCACCAATATCACGTGACTTTAAAATGGTATTTGTCGGACTTTACATAACAACATATAACCATAATCTAAGTGCCGGTACTTTTGCTGCCATTTGACAGCCGTTAAAAATAACCAGGGCTTAGATGTGCTCTAACCACAATATACTTATAGACCTTGGCCCATTCAAAACTTTGACAACGTATCAAATTCGTTAATCGAGAGCAAAAGTAACGGCCCTAAATCTACCTGCTCGCAGGTCACTGTCAACCAAGGACTATGAACGGAATTTTGTTGCTGAGTGACGTCACACTAATCGGTCGTTTCAAATGGCGATGTTTCGAGCGTAACTTCAAATATTTATAAAAAATTAACGGCTGATTTTTAATGCTTGATATTTGGCATGACTATGTCTTTAGTGTAGTGCAACACATTTTTGAAATGAAAAAAAAATGTGCAAGTTCCCTACTAAAACACCCAAAGTAGTTCGCACAGTTCAAGAGATCAAGAAGAATCAGTGCACTTGGAACAGTCATAGTAGAATTAGGGAATTCAACTTTGAATATTACATGCCCGGCCGATCCTAGCAGGTGTGCAGCGCGTGCCCCGCACGCGGGCGGCCAAATCTAGGGGCGGCCAAATCTAGAGGCGGCCGCAGGCCGCCCTATAGTTCTGTCATTCAAGATTCAAGTAAAACTTTTTACGAATTTCTCAAAATAAAACTTCTTCTAATAAAGAAATAAGCTGACCTTTAAAAAACTCCTGAAAAATGAAAATAAACCCCGATCTCCTGATAACATAAATAGAAAGTTTAGTACAGTCAATGTGTAGGCTCACGCATAATGTTTTAACTCTTTACACATCCATCATAAAATCGCATAATTTTTTATATTTCCTAAATACTTCTGCTTTGTTTTAGGCACTAGCTGACGTCACACACATAACCTCACAATGATATTTTTGACCCCCTATCGAAAGTGACGTTATTTGATTTTTGAAGTTAATAGCTATAGCGCCTGCAGGTAAAAATAGACCTTCAAATGCTTTGTTCGTTCCCTCATCGAAAGTCGAATGTGAGGTTGTGTGTAACGTCAGCTAGTGCCTAGTTGGAACAAGGTACCAACTAGTGGCTGACTAGTCACTGAAAATTTCCATAAGGAATGTACTGCCACTAGTCAGTTCCCAGTTATAATTTATGTTCACCTTGTTCCAATAATTAACTTTGGAAAATGTATACCAAAGACTTCCAAATGCAGGTGGGTACCTATATGTTATGTAGATAATAGTATTACGACTAGGGACTGGAGTATCTTGATTTTCCACAGGGCCCTATTTTTCAATTTCATATCCAGGCCCAAGCCCCAGGCCCTACTTTAGTTTTAGGATAGTGTTTGTCATTATTGATCACCACTCACCCGCATTTAAATTAATACCAACTCATAGAAAACAAATATGTTCCAAACAAGTTTTTTTTAACTCTAAACGCCCAAAAACGTTCATTTTGAGGCTCGAAATGAACGATTTTGGGCGTGGCACCCAAAAATAGTCTGACTCCGGTGGCGCCTGCGCCGGGCTACCTCCACTGGCACCTACGTAAGGAGGGCTATATCTCTATGGGGCGGCGCGATTGCTCTTTGCACGCGGAATGCCATTGTTCTAGATTTGCGTATATATAAAGGCCGGTATTAGTTTGTAGTTCAAATTTAGGTTTGGCTGTTATACGAAACGAGGATTTAGATTATATTTCGAAACGGTTTGAACCAATTTTTATGTGACGTCATGGGTTCATCGCGAGAATATCGTTTCCAATCTGTTGTAAACCAGTTTAAAAAGCGTGATCGCGAGGAAACAGCTCAGCTCACTCCAAAAGCAAAGTTTCTCAATTTGGCCCGTATTCATAGTCGATGCTCAAGGTTGCATCTTGGCTCAAGTATGACTTGACGCCATAATTGCTATTCCAAACAACACGGAACGATGCTCACAACTGTCAAAAATCGGAACTTGAGCCAAACACCCGTCTATGAATACCGGGCAAAGGCTTCGGTTTTGCACTCCATGGAGCGGAACGGTATGAGTATGGATATCGTGAAGTCATACGCGGTCATAAGCCCAACGCAAAAAGGAACCTAGCTAGAAAGAACAAGATCTTCTTGTTTCGAGCGCGCTTAGAGTTTACATACCTCATTCGGGATTTTGCTCAAAAAACAGAGCGTACGGAGCAGAGCCGTAATCACGTGACCAGCGAGCCGTCAGAGCAGTTGAAAGTTGTATCAGACTGTGCGTTCGGTATTTTGATGTGAGCTCTACGAGCTTGAATTTACCGTTCGTTTATTTAAAAAGTGTACTCGGTGCAGGTTCATTCGCGTTCGTTTAAGAAAATTTCTGGCACTCTGATACAGTGTTCAACTGCTCCGTTCGTTCCCTTATCACGTGATTACGGCTCCACTCAGCACGCTCTGCTCTTTGAGCAAAATACCGAACGCAAGGAGAGTACCCGAAATGTTAGCTGGGTTCGGCTATAGGCATTCCAGGTTGACGTCATAACCGATCCGCCATTTTAGCTGAGGGGCAAACACAAGGTAACTTTTAATACCTTTTAGGTAGTCCAGCAGAATTTAAGGATACAAACAATCCGGATCGGGTCCCCAGTACAAATTTAGGATATACTACGATGATAGATAAAAGCCCAGAATGAACAAGCCAGTAAGCTAAGCTACATGCCAGATCTGTGCACCGATCAGAACAGTCAAAGCGTTTAAGGAGTCATTCTACCACAAATTTATTTTGCTAAAGTTTATTTGTAAGGTTGTTATTCACAAAAACTAAAAACAACTTAAAACTTATTGAACAAATCAAAAAACGCAAAAATTCCGAAGCACAAACTCAAAAAACACTTTAAACAATAGACGATTTCGCCACGTTTTGGTAATCTACTTTGGTTGGTCAAAAATGTACCAACCAATTTCGGCACGAAAAACAATGACGTCACGATAACTTTGGTATTCATTTTGGTATGTCAAAGTGGGTACCGAGCTTGGAGCACGGTTATTTGAATTGGTAGCTTGCTATCTCTCTCTAATTAGGGAATCCAAACCAGCCCCCGGATTCTATTTCACGAATCGAGTCGAATTGTCTCGATACACAGCCTCCTATAGTTAACAAGCCATGAAGTTGGAAATGACGGCAACGTCGCGTATGGTGCTATTTTGTTATTGGGTTATGTGTTTCTGTGTATTGCTTTCATTGTGTATTGTTGCAATTTAGTATTTTTATGGGCATTATTGAGGAAAAAGTGGATAGAAACACACCAATATATTGCCCATATTTAGTTGATACCTGTTCCTTTGTGCTTTGATTGCAAATTTTTAGCAAATGGGTACAGGAGCAAAAATGAAGGTAAGGTAAGGTAAAACAATAAAAACAATATTAATATTTGTCTGCAAGAGCATAGGTCTCGATATATTGCCTAAGATATTTAAACTTGTTCCAGATGCCATGAAACTACTGTGTTCCTGGGTGCAAATCGAACTATTAGGAGTTCCTTAAAAACTGAAGAAATGCAAACATTTTTATTTCCAAAAAAATTCTGAAGTGCAAAAAATATGTGGATGAAAGCAATACACCAAGATAATTATACCCGAGATTATACAATAACGAAAAATTCTGTGGTGTGTTGTAAGCATTTTGAAGAAGCCGAAATACTTAGATTTGAAACAAACAAGGATAAAGGCGTAGTTCGAGAGTTCAAACTAAAACGTCCAACTCTTAAAAGTAGGTACCTCTGATTTTCGAAAATCAGCTCAAGTATTTGAATGGACTTGCCTTCCGAAAAAATCCCGAAGAAAGAAAAAGTTAGATTTTCAAAAGACATACTGAAACATAGGACTATAACACTTTAGACTAGGAATATATTCATTTAAATCAATTATTTACTGTTCTTATTTACACAAATAGTTAAATTATTCATTGAATTACTGTTTTTGGCCCTTTAGTACAATAAATTATGCATTTTTTGTGATTCATAATAATAAAATAAAAAATATATATTTATACAAACAAACACCACTAGCACCACTTGGCGGTAAGATTGCGGTGTTGCCTTTTTAACTTCATGGCTTGTTAAATGTAGGAGGCTGTGCTCGATATCGAATACGACAGCTCCGGACGTACCGTGTAAAACATATCAAAAAATCGAAAAACAGAATCGCTATTTTGATAATTCGATACGAATTTCGACTCGACTCGTAAAATTGAATCCGGCAGCAGGTGACTTTTGCCAACCAGCCGGCATTTTGAAATTTTTATGAGGTTAGAATACGGGTTGTTACATGTCAACGATGTCAGTATTGATAAAGCCTAGTACTCATAACAGCGAAATTCGCTGTTTTTTGACATTGCTTCGACAATTTGACGTTTTATGTGTGAATCAAACGTCAAAAACGAGCGAATTTCGCGGTTATGAGTACTAGGCTTAATCCCGTCAAAATAAAAACATGTTTTTTGTTTATTATTTGCCAACCAGACGCGATTTGGACAGGTCGTTGGATTGCCTAATCCAATTTTAATTTCCAATAATAAAAAGTATTCAGTAGTTTGTTTATTTTTATTTTCTCAGGCATACCATCACCATCACGTGATACACATGACATTTGACAAACCGGCCGATTTCGGCTGAAAATGGTATGCGACGTCACTGTTGTGACGAAGAGCCTACCTAGCGGTTAATCAATTTACCTACCAACCAAAACGTGGCGAAATCGTCTAATATGATCTATAGGCTTTAAGCCTAGTCTCCATAGTCGCGAAATCGCGGAAAGCGAATTTTTTAAGTGTCATTTTTTGGTGGCTATTTCCGAGCAAATTATTCCCATGTCTCCATAAGCGCGAAATTCGCGTTTTATTTAACAGGTTAGCGTTACCTATGTGTTGTTGTTTGTAATCAATTTGAATTCGATTTAAATGCTTTGAATTTCAAACACTAATCTTTGAAAACCATGAAAGTGATTACTAAAAAACAAAAAAAAATATGTGCCTTGGTGTTGTCTTAATTACATTTAAGGCCCTATTATAATCTTCTTCATCAACCAGCAAGCTGTAATTTATGTCTGTTTTCGGGTCTACAATATTCAATTCTTTGGCAGTATCCATTCTTTATTAGGTATCTACAAGTACAAAACACATCAACGACTCACAGAGGACAGAGCACAGAACAGAGCACATACCGACAAAAACATAAACAAAACTAAACTGAAAGTAACACCACATAACCTCATTTTTTTTTGGCGAAATTTCGCGGAAAGTTAAAAAATAGTTAACTTTTTTGCGACGCCGCAAGGAGTTAAAAAATTCGCGAATTTTTCCCGCCATAAAAAAATCAAATGTTAAATGTCAAATTCCAACCAATCGGAAAATATCCGCAAAAAAAAATTCGCGATTTCGCGTCCATGGAGACTAGGCTTTAGGCGTATTTTAGCGACAGGTAAACATCGTACTACACATACTACGATTCATGACGTCATAGTTACCCAAATAACAGGTGGAGTGTATTTGACAAAGGGTCTAAGAGAGGACGCCACGATCGTTGTTTATTTGGATTTGTTGAATTTTGTAAAATTTAGCGTTTTCGAGTTTCAATATTATTTCTCCAGTGAAGATTTTCGAATATTTTTGATAGATTGTGGTATTTTTGAATTTTATGGGTACCCTATGCCAAAAAAAAAAAAATTACACTTTTGTGCACAAGTGAAGATTTTTTATTTTTTTTGCAAAAAACCTCTAAAATAAAATCACAGAAAACCATGGCAAAATGAGGAAAAACAATCCTCTATTTATAATGGAAAGAACTGTGTCCGTAATCGTATCGTAATCAGCTGATGTTTTGCCCATATGCTCATTTTCGTGTATTAGAAAAAGATGCACTGACATACTACAACCAGTAACTATCCCTCCTAGGATGTTTACAGTCGAGTTTTATGTTGTGTTTTATGTTGTGACGTCATAGTATGTTAGCCATGCTCGCTAAAATGTAGTATCCCAAGTAAATACAACATACTACTGGGTTAAAACTCTCGCTAAAATACGCCTTTTGTATGCCTCTCAGCTAATATGGCGGACCTGTCAAAAGTCAGGTGACCTGGAATGCCTTATTCAGCGCGGAGTTGGAGTGGTGTGAACAGAGCTAATGGAGTCACCCCTAATACGGTAAAAAGCAATACCCGAACGGCTAGAGTGCGAATGGAGTCACTCGGAGTGCACGGAGTGAACAAGCCGAACCCACCTGTTTATTAAACAAACGCGAATGAGCCTGCACCGAGTACACTTTTTAAATAAACAAACGGTAAATTCAAGCTCGAAGAACTCAGATCAAAATACCGAAAACACGGATAGTGTAAAGCCGAACTCAGCCAAAGTTACACCTTGGGGAATGTGGAGTAACACTCAAAGTTTTCATTTTTGATAGGATCATTGAAAATGAGGCGTGTCTCGGGAGTGTAGCGTGTGTGTTTTTACAGGGTTGTCTTTATGTATAGTAACGGTAAATATAATATTTCAGAACGCACTTAAGTTCCTACCCGGGCCCTGATAATCGAAAACGCTACAAATAATTCCTAACCCCAATCTACTACTGTCATTTTAAATGTCATTACCTTTCACTTGACTTGAATTTTTTTTATTTATTTATATTATCCAAACATCCAACAAAAGAAACAGAAAGGACAAATTAATCCTAATTTGTAAAAACAATACATAGATTTATACTACTGAAAATAAAACAATACAAAAATGTCTTCAACTTCAGAATTGGATCAGTGGATAGAGATCGCTCAGCAGTGCAAATACTTGCCTGAAAACGATTTGAAAAAACTCTGTGATATTGTTTGCAGCATGTTATTGGAAGAATCTAACGTACAGCCCGTATCTACTCCTGTGACGGTTTGCGGTGATATTCACGGACAGGTTAGTAACATTTTTTTAAACCACCAAACCTTCTAATAGTCTTGTATAGTTTTATGATCTCGAGGAACTCTTCCGCAAAGGGGGACAAGTTCCGGACACCAATTACGTATTTCTTGGTGATTTTGTGGATAGAGGCTACTATAGTTTGGAAACGTTTACACGGCTGCTTACCCTCAAAGCCAAATATCCAAATAAAATCACTTTGCTCAGAGGCAATCACGAGAGTAGGCAAATCACACAAGTATACGGGTTTTATGATGAGTGTATGAACAAATATGGGAATGTAAATGCTTGGAAATATTGCTGTGGAGTGTTTGATTTGTTAACAGTGGCTGCTGTAAGTTACTAATTGATATTTTCATTACTTGGGTAATGAAGTAATATTTTTGTATAGATTATTGATGAGAAAATTTTATGTGTTCATGGTGGCTTGAGTCCAGATATAAAGACTCTAGATCAAATTAGGAAATTAGAGAGAAATCAAGAAATACCTCATAAAGGAGCTTTTTGTGATTTAGTTTGGTCCGATCCGGATGAAGTTGATGCTTGGTAAGTTTATCTTACCCATTAAGTATTGATTGATTGCAAATTAAAATTATTTTCAGGGCAACTAGTCCAAGAGGTGCAGGCTATTTATTTGGAGCAAAAGTTACAAACGATTTTATCCACATCAATTCTCTAAGTTTAATTTGCAGGGCACATCAGTTAGTGCATGAAGGTTTGTATTGCTCAAATTCTCAAATAAATATTTCAAATACCTTTTTTTTTAGGTTTTAAATATATGTTTGATGACAAACTAGTAACAGTTTGGTCTGCCCCAAATTATTGTTATCGTTGCGGCAATGTGGCAAGTATCTTAGAATGTGCTAGTACTGAATCAATCGAACCGAAAATATTCAGCGCCGTGCCTGATACTGAACGAGTGATACCAAGCAGGAACGTTACACCATATTTTTTATAATGTTTTATTTTTTTTTTAAATTTAATTATAAATTAATTACACACTTGATAATTTAGGGCTAACTGCATTGTATATAAAGTTTCAAACTTGGAAATTTTAAAATTGATGAAATGATTTTAAAAACATAAAACACATCCAGTTTAAAACTAATTATTGGATTTTTTTGTGCAAAAAAACTGTAGGTATCAAATTGTTTTAAATATCTTAAAATTCCTATAAAATCATGCATAAGGGTTCCTGAAAAATACTTCAAGCCACCATATGGACTTGAAAATTTCAGAATTTATTAATTGGAGTTTCTTTATTCTCTATGATGAACTAGAAGTTGATATGAAACTCAAGACTAAAGCTACAAATTTTTTCTTTCATTGATGTCCAAAAAACATAAAATTCCCATACAATCACCTATAAGAGTTCCTGAAAAATACTTTAATTTAATAATTGAAGTTTCTCCATCATCCAAAACAAGCCGGAAGTAGATGTAAACCTATCAAACTCTATATCATTGAAATCAGCAAATGAAGTGCTATCCAGTGAGATATTAATATTTGGGGTCTCCTTAAAAAAAAAATAGACTTGGGTCAGTATCTCAAAATCTGATGCTCTGATGCTTAAAACAGTGCTTTTGGAAAGTTTTTATGGAAATCAATCATTTTCATCAACAAAAAAGTTATGAAGCTTTCACAGTATGTATTGCTCAAAATCGAGAAACATCTGACCTTGGTAATATCTAGAGAAAACTGTATGGAGCAAATTAAATATATTTTTACAATTTCAATAAATACAAATATCACAGAGACTTTATTTTCTAAAAAATATTATACACACATGCTACAATAATTAATACTGTGGTAAGATGAGACATGGGCAATTTGCTATCTGCTCCATTAAAGTAAACGATTCTATCATTGAGGGGTTGTATTGGTCTATAATTATGCGTTAACGGTCCGTTTTTAGAAAATAGCTTCCGGAAGGCATTTATCTGAAAAAAAAAATTTTATTTGGTACAAGATTTTGTGTCTCAAATAAAATATGATACTTTGATTGACTTGGAAGTTAAAGTAAAAACATGTACAAGTTCTTACTTGTTCCCTTGACATCGGTAAGGGATTTGTAAATTCAATCCAAGTAACCACCTCACTGCAAGGTGGCGTAGTTAAAGAACCCTCGTAAGTGTAATAAAAACTGCGTTCTCCTTCTGGCCTAGTCAGATCACTGAGAGAATCTAAATTGTTGAAGGTTCTGTTTGCCGACTCATCGATAACGTCTTTCAGGCCATCCTCGAAATTGTCATAGCCTAGATTATCATGTTCGTCGATCTAAAATTTTCAAACATTTAAGCTTCTTTTAGTTCAAATTTAATATGCTTACAATTATTATAAATGCTAAAACCGTCAAACCAGAAGGTTTATTTCCTGCCTCTGTAAAGTCTTTGTATCGTTTATCAAAAAACACTATGTGCATTTCGCCAGGGTAACTGTAAATACAATAAAAAGTTATTTTAAGTTACCTATAGGAAATGATCGAGCATTGATTACGTGTGATGATCGAATTGACTTTCAGAGCCAACTGTATCGTTTTGTCCCCAATGATAGTGCAGCTGAGCGAATTCAAACTCTCCGCTTAAAGGGCCTCCTTTTATTGTAGGCTTTGGATCACTGTTGATTTTCATTTGGACTAAAATGTTTATAGACTTTTTGAAGAACATTATTATTTAAGTTTGCAATTATTTTTTACCTGTATGTCCATTATTTATCAAAAAAGCCTTCTGTATTGGTTCATCGAAATGACTGAAAACCAAAGGTGGAAAATGCTTTGTGATTGCTTTGGTTACCTCAATGTCTATTGGGCTTTGGTGTTTGCCTACGCATTGAGCGTATTTTGCTCCCCAATAGTTTGGACCTGAGAAAACAGTATACCTATATGTTGAGTCTTGGCATTATTACCTATATTCCAATAATTCTTTATGAAAAATATAATTATATAGTACAGATTTTTAGCAAGTATTCACATGTACCTATATAAAAATATTCATTGTTTCTAGTTAGATACCTAATTATTATGATTTTCTGAATTTATAATTACAACAAATTTCAAGCGTCCTGGAAGTAAATTGTGTTTAATTTTATAGATAAATATGCATATTGTGTAAAACACCAAATTTTCAACGTTCAACCATTGGAATTGATGTAACATTTAACTTTTTTGTGTAATGATTTTCATTTAAATCTACCCAGATAGCATACATAGTCTTGAAGACATCTTTTTCAGGACTGCATTGCGTCTGAACTTCTATAGACCAAAAAAAAAAAAAATGCCTAAAAGACATTTATGAGATGTTGTAAATTCATATCTTAAAGACAACTGAGCCATAATGATAATAATGGGTTTTATATTGAAAAGATATTCAAAGGCGTCTTCAATACATCTCGTTGAAGACGTCTTTAGAATGTCTTGGGAAAATATGACAAAGATGTTGGGTTTTGTAACGACGTCTTTAAGATACTTTGAACACATAAGCAAGCGTCCAAAAAACGTCTCAAATGTCATTGGTGGATCTTAGAAACTTTTTCAAGATGTTTACAAAAACTTCCCACAGAATTCGTTTCTCATTAAATTTAAAAGCTACTGGGAACTATTTAAAATGCTACAGAGGACTTTAGAACTATAGGCATTTTGGAAAGTTCAAAACGCTTCAAATTTAATTCAGAATTTCCAAAAGCATTCTGTAACGTTTCAAAACAATTTGGAAACATCAGAACCATTTTAAAATGCTCTAAAATATTCAATTTCGATTTACAATTTCCAAAAGCATTTTAGAAAAATTCAGAAGTTTGAAATCCATTTTGAGACCCTCCAAAGCACTCTAGAATCTCCAGAAACATTTTAAAAAACTTCAGAATCATAGGATTCAGGTTAAATTACAAAACAACTTCCAGAAGGCGTTCAAGAGTAAATTTAAATTGCTGTACAACGTCAAATCTTTGATAAGTATCTTATCTATCCAAAACAGGTAAAATCCGAATCAAAATTGTCGAGAGCATTTTGGAACAATTTAGAAACTTCAGAATTATTTCAGAATATTTAGGACCCAGTTCAGAGCTGGAAACCTTTTTGAACTCTTCTGAACCAAATTAGAACACTTTGGAGTTTGAATATAGGGCTCTGAAATACTTAAAAATTTGTCAGATCAATTGCTGAAAAACTTCTAAAATGTTCCAGAACTCTTCCAGCCAAGTTAGAACATTTTGGAAGTTCAATAAGCCATTTAGAACGTTCCAAAACACAGCAGCATTTTGAAAGGCTTTTCAGAACAATTCAAAATCCTCAGAATTATTTCAGAGAGTCTAGCGCCTGGAATAAACAAAAATTGACAGTTACAAAATGAGATTTCAGGCTCTTGGTTTGTTTTTTAATTTTTACTCCTGGCTCTTCTAATGTTTTTCTTCCAAAATTAATTTTGTGTATATTTCCATTCAATGAATCGTTGGGATTTCATAAGACGCTTTGAAGATGTGAGCAGACGTCTAAAAGACGTCTTGAATGGTCGTTTTTAGACATCTTAGGAACGTCTTTAAGATGTCTGTGTAAATGTAGATGACTATTTTTTGTAGGCTAGTAAAACTAGGCTTATTTTGGGCTGAACCTCAAACAAATTCGCTACAAGCTAATTTTTGCGCCATTGTGTTTGTTTTGAAGTTTTAAATAACTGGCTAAAAATCCCAAAAAATCCGAAATGGGGCGCAGCCCCTAAATCACCCCCAAAAGTACGTTTTTTAAGTTTTTTGCAATTTTCTTAAAATCAACTAGTTTTTCGAAAAATTTGCAAAACACCTTTTTTGTAGAGCACAAAATTTGCAATTTTTTGGTATGATACACTTTATTATTTGAATAAGCTTAAGATATAAGGGAGTATAAAAATATAAAAAAGTAAGATTTAAATTTGTATTGGTCTTATTTAGTGACATTTGCCAATATTACTTAAATGGTGTTAACAATTCGGAATATTTATTGTTATAACCAATCAAAAGCCAGGAAAATTAAAAAATTGAATTTTTAAGCCAATTAAGAATCGGAAATATTCGAACATTGACTTTTAAAACTTCAAATTAAGCCAATCAAGAACCGGGAATATTTTAAAATTGAATTTTAAAGCAAATCAAGAGCCGGGAATTGACAAATACTTAATTTTTGAGCCAATCAGAAGCCGAGAAAATTAAAAAATTGAATGTTCAAGCCAATTAAGAATCGGAAATATTCGAACATTGACTTTTAAAACGTCAAATTATTCCAATCAAGAGTCCGGAATATTTGAAAATTGAATTTTAAAGAAAGTCAAAAGCAGGGAATTTACAAATATTGATTTTTCAAGCCAATTCGTAGCCGGGAAAATTGAAAAACTTGATTTTTAAGCCAATTAATAACCGGAAATATTCGAACATGGAATTTTAAAACGTCATAAATTGAGTCAATCAAGAGCCGGGAATATTCGAAAATTGAATTTTAAAGCAAATCAAGAGCCGAGAATGTACAAATATTGAATTTTTAAGCCAATCAAAAGCCGGGAAAATTAAAAAATTGAATTTTTAGGCCAATTAGGAATCGGAAATATTCAAACATTGAATTTTAAAACGTCAAACTAAGCCAATCAAGAGCCGGGAATATTTGAAAATTGAATTTCAAAGCAAATTAAGAGCCGGGGATTTACAAATATTGATTTTTTAAGCCAATCAAAAAACCAAGAAAATTGAAAAATTGAATTTTAAAACCAATCAAAAACCGGAAATATTCGAACATGGAATTTTAAAACGTCAAATTGAGTCAATCAAGAGCCGGGAATATTCGAAAATTGAATTTTAAAGCAAATCAGGTGCCGGGAATATTCAAAAATTGAATTTTAAAGCAAATCAAGAGCCGGGAATTCACAAATATTGAATTTTTAAGCCAATCAAAAGCCGGGAAAATTAAAAAATTGAATTTGAGTTGAGTTGAAGTTGACCAAATAACAAAGATTCATAACAAAAACGAAATATTTTATTGGTGTTTGTTACTGAAATAAATAACTGTTAAATTCTAAGGCCTGTATCAACACTAAAACTTTTTTAAATAATACAAATGGGTATACCATTTGATTCGAAATTTTGTACTCTACAAAAAACGTGCCTTATACTTTTTTGTTTAAACTTACATTTTTGAGAAAATTCCAACAAACCTAAAAAATGTACCTACCTTTGGGGGTGGTTTTGGGGTTGCGCTCCCTATCGGATTTTTTGGGAATTTTAACTCGTTATGAAAAACACTAAAAGGAACACAATGGCGCAAAAATCAGCTTGTAGCGAATTTGTTTAGGGTTGCCCACCTAGTTTTACTAGCTTATTGGTTACGATTACTGGATTTCTTTAGCGACAAAAAAAAAAATAATAATTTAAAACTAAAAAAAAAAAAAAAGCTAAAATAATTTGTTCCAAGAATCTTTTATTAAAAAGCGTGTTTTCCTTAATTAAATTTATTAGAGCGTGTCTATTACCATACACCTACCCATTAACAACTAAACACTGTAAAATGAAGCAAAAACACCATTTATTGCCAACATGTTATTAAAACTTTTTGTTGTATTATTCTAAGTAACCGGTAAGTTATTTAAATAACGGACTTGACATCAATAAAATTTTGTATTAGGCGTGAATGTTGGTCAATTTTTTGTTTTTAATTGAAACGGAATTTACCTACTTACCTTCGGTACCATCATATCCGAAATCTTGACAAATTGTTCCTAGAAAGAAAAAAAAATTAGTAGGTAATATTCAATACAATTTGTTATTGTTATAACTTCATATCTATATAGGACAAAAAATATTATCAACAAAAAAAGAAATTTGGGTAAGTTTGAGTTCCAGTGTGTATGACCATCTAAAAATTTCCATTTTTCAAAATAAAGTTTGTACCTTTGTATCCAATAAAAGTCATAACAAGATCGTCCTTAAATACATAATAGGACAACTATTTATACATCTGTAAAGGCCATCAAACTAGTCCCATATATTTTAAAGAAAAACCAACAATTTACAACACTTACCTAACCACGCAAGTTATTATAATACCAATGAATTATTGTTAATTTAAACGAAAAATTATTTACATTTTCGTAGAAATTTCCTAAAATAAGTGTGTATTTTTAAGAAATTTAGCTATTGTTCCTATTGCAATAATGTGTCTAATTATTGTTATTTAACAAAATTAAGACAAGATTTCTAAAGATGTTGCAGATGAATACCTATTTCAAAATAATAGGTTTATCATGCTCTTAATTAGGCGTTAATAAGGTGAAACGTATAATTTCAAAGCTCTCATTAAAAAGCTAGGAACAATTAAAAAATTGTTTCAGAGATGACCTTCAAATTTAATGACAAAGCTCTACTATTATAAGAAAAATGTTACAAAAGAATTTCACCAATATAATTATTATGCAAATGAAAAATAACTACATTATCTATGTGATTTTTCATTTAAAAATTTCACCTACATGCTAGAAACTAGAAAGGAGGGATATCTCAAAAATCGATGAATTAAATTGGCTTTTGTAAGTATGATCCTGGGTTATTCGCGTGTCTTTACTCAAACACAAAGACGCCCAAATTCTTAAATTATTTATACAAAAATTGTCATACAAATCGATGAGAGCATAAATAAATTGCAAATCCTTCTAAAATTATAGATATAGGACAGTTTTGAAACTATAATACGATTAAACTGAATGAGTAGGTTAGGGTTAGGTCTATATATGATATTTTGAGCGTCTTCTTAATTAAAATTTATCCACGATTAATGCAAACCGAATAAGGTATTTGTAGGTTTTGTCATTGAAAAATCAAGGCTTTTAACTATTATTAGAGAATTGGTTACCTACATCTCTAATCTTATAAATAATTAAATTTTCTAGAACTTTTCCCTCAAAAGACTTTTGTAAATTAAACAAATATGTCTAGGTAAAAAAGGGCAACTTTTGTCTCAGTCCTATGATAACTTTTCATACATCAGCTTAAGCAATAAATATAGGGTGGTTGCACATTTTTGGATTATACATATATATTTTTTCGATTTCTTTCCTTATTTTTTCTTGAATTTCTTCTCTCTATTTCTCAATTTTTCCGTTTCAATTTTTGTCCAATCCCGGCTCTTAAATTTTCTTCGTTTTTTTAAAATTTCTCTAAATCGAGAAAATTATAGATCTTTGAAATAGAAATAATAGTATATTACATACCGAGGTGGGAAGTGTTTCGTTACTGTCGAGAGATTAGTTAATTAACCGAGACGACAGTAATGAAACACTTCCCACCTTGGTATGTAATATACTATTTCCACACTCGATTGCTATCTGAACTCAGTTTCGAGTCTTTCGGTTAACGACAATCGCGTGTGGAAAAATAATACTTTCCGCACTTGCTAGGAAAATACCTATTGTGTCTACTAGCTGTGTCAAGTTAGCCCCCCACATTCAAATTTTCTAAAAAAATTGCAGCCACTTACTGTGCTCGAAGTGTGCTTTACTGTGCCGATGATATTTTGAACTGTGCCGTTTCGATAACAAAGTTATAGGAAAAAATAGATGAGGGGCTAACTTGACGCTCAGCCCCCCCATAATTTTGGAAATCAGATTAAACAAAATTGAATTCTTATCCAATCTGAAGTGTACTGAACTGTGCTGTATCAGGTTTTTCTGAAAATTTCCATATTCGGTCATTTTCCGACAAAATCCTACTAAGGGGCTAACTTGACGCTCAGCCAGTGTTGCCACAGGTGGCCCTATATGGCCAGATCTGGCCCTTTCTAAGACAGAGTGGCCCGTTGGCCACTCTTTTTCGAATCTGGCCCGTTTCTCCATAACAAGCCAAATCATTATTTTTTGATGCAAAATAAACTTTTTAGGGCGTGGCACCTGAAAAAAACTTCTGCATCCGAAAATTCTGAAATCTGGCCCCTTTTAAAAATATAATCTGGCACGAAATTTTCAGAGCCTGTGGCAACACTGCGCTCAGCCCCCTCAAAATTTTGGAAATCAATTTGCACAAAATTGAATTCTTATCCAATCTGAAGTGTGCTGAACTGTGCTGTACCAGGTTTTTCTCGAAATTTCCATATTCGGTCATTTTCCGACAAAATCCTACTACTAAGAGGGGGCTAAGTTGATGCCAAATTTTAGAAATCAGATCAAAGAAAAACGGACTCTTATTCTTATTAAATCTGAAGAGAGCTGAATTGTGCCTGATCAGGTTATTCCAAGTTTCCATGTTTGGCCATTTCCCGATATAAACCTAATGGATATGTGAATTCTCAGAGCTGAACGACGAACGTCAAGTTAGCTAGTAGGATTTTGTCGGAAAATAACCGAATTCATCTGATTTCCAAAATTTTGGGGGGGCTGAGCGTCAAGTTAGCTCCCCAGTAGGATTTTGTCGGAAAATGACCGAATATGGAAATTTTCAGAAAAACCTGACACAGCACAATTCAGCACACTGTAGATTAGATAAGAATTCAATTCTGTTTAATCTGATTTCCAAAATTTTTGGGAGGCTGAGCGTCAAGTTAGCCCCCCAGTAGGATTTTGTCGGAAAATGACCGAATATGGAAATTTTCAGAAAAACCTGACACAGCACAATTCAGCACACTGTAGATTAGATAAGAATTCAATTCTGTTTAATCTGATTTCCAAAATTTTTGGGAGGCTGAGCGTCAAGTTAGCCCCCCAGTAGGATTTTGTCGGAAAATGACCGAATATGGAAATTTTCAGAAAAACCTGACACAGCACAATTCAGCACACTGTAGATTAGATAAGAATTCAATTCTGTTTAATCTGATTTCCAAAATTTTTGGGAGGCTGAGCGTCAAGTTAGCCCCCCAGTAGGATTTTGTCGGAAAATGACCGAATATGGAAATTTTCAGAAAAACCTGACACAGCACAATTCAGCACACTGTAGATTAGATAAGAATTCAATTCTGTTTAATCTGATTTCCAAAATTTTTGGGAGGCTGAGCGTCAAGTTAGCCCCCCAGTAGGATTTTGTCGGAAAATGACCGAATATGGAAATTTTCAGAAAAACCTGACACAGCACAATTCAGCACACTGTAGATTAGATAAGAATTCAATTCTGTTTAATCTGATTTCCAAAATTTTTGGGAGGCTGAGCGTCAAGTTAGCCCCCCAGTAGGATTTTGTCGGAAAATGACCGAATATGGAAATTTTCAGAAAAACCTGACACAGCACAATTCAGCACACTGTAGATTAGATAAGAATTCAATTCTGTTTAATCTGATTTCCAAAATTTTTGGGAGGCTGAGCGTCAAGTTAGCCCCCCAGTAGGATTTTGTCGGAAAATGACCGAATATGGAAATTTTCAGAAAAACCTGACACAGCACAATTCAGCACACTGTAGATTAGATAAGAATTCAATTCTGTTTAATCTGATTTCCAAAATTTTTGGGAGGCTGAGCGTCAAGTTAGCCCCCCAGTAGGATTTTGTCGGAAAATGACCGAATATGGAAATTTTCAGAAAAACCTGACACAGCACAATTCAGCACACTGTAGATTAGATAAGAATTCAATTCTGTTTAATCTGATTTCCAAAATTTTTGGGAGGCTGAGCGTCAAGTTAGCCCCCCAGTAGGATTTTGTCGGAAAATGACCGAATATGGAAATTTTCAGAAAAACCTGACACAGCACAATTCAGCACACTGTAGATTAGATAAGAATTCAATTCTGTTTAATCTGATTTCCAAAATTTTTGGGAGGCTGAGCTTCAAGTTAGCCCCCCAGTAGGATTTTGTCAGAAAATGACCGAATATGGAAATTTTGAGAAAAACCTGATACGGCACAGTTCAGCACACTTCAGATTGGATAAGAATCGTTTTTGGTTTCATCTGATTTCCAAAATTTTGGGGGGGCTGAGCGTCAAGTTAGCTCCCCAGTAGGATTTTGTCGGAAAATGACCGAATATGGAAATTTTCGGAAAAACCTGACACAGCACAATTCAGCACACTGTAGATTAGATAAGAATTCAATTCTGTTTAATCTGATTTCCAAAATTTTTGGGAGGCTGAGCGTCAAGTTAGCCCCCCAGTAGGATTTTGTCAGAAAATGACCGAATATGGAAATTTTGAGAAAAACCTGATACGTCACAGTTCAGCACACTTCAGATTGGATAAGAATCCTTTTTGGTTTCATCTGATTTCCAAAATTTTGGGGGGCTGAGCGTCTAGTTAGCCCCTCATCTATTTTTTCCTATAACTTTGTTATCGAAACGGCACAGTTCAAAATATCATCGGCACCAGTAAAGCACACTTCGAGCACAGTAAGTGGTTGCAATTTTTTTAGAAAATTTGAATGTATATAGGGGAGCTAACTTGACAGAGCCGTGTCTACTTGTCTACCAATTTCTTCTCAATTTCTTTGGAATTTCTTCTCTCTATTTCTCAATTTTGCCAGCTCAATTTTTATCTATTCTTGGCTATTGAATTTGCCGACATTTTTTCTCTCTATTTTTCAATTTTTCCAGCTCATTAATTTTTTTTCTTCTAACTCCGGCTCTTGAGATTGTCAAACTAAAAAAGATTCACGAGACTGGAATAGAAAAAAAAAACAATTTTTTATTAATTTTTCTTGCATATTTCTTCTTTTTATTCCTCAATTTTTCTATCTCAATTTCTGTCTATTCCCATGTCTTGGAAATTCCGTTTTCTTGTAAATTTCTCTAAATAGAGATAGTTCAAGAGTTTGCCAAGAAACTACCAATTTTTTCTCAATTTCTCTGGAATTTCTTCTCCCTATTTCTCAATTTTTCCAGCTAAATTTTTTTCTATTCCCGGCTTTTGAAATTGTCGAAATAAAAGAAATTCAAGAGCCTGGAATAGAAAAAGCATCTATTTCCACTTATCTACCAATTTTTTCTCAATTTTTCTTATATTCCGTCTTTTTGTTTTTCAATTTTTCAATCTCAATTTTTGTCTATTCCCATCTGTTGAGTGTTCGTTTTTTTATAGATTTCTCTGAATAGAGTTTGGACTAGATATAAAATATTATGTGTTTACTTGTCTACCAATTTTTTCTCAATTTCTCTGGAATTTCTTCTCTCTATTTCTCAATTTTTACAGCTCAATGTTTGTCTATTCTTGGCTCTTGAAATTGTCGAAATAAATAAAATTCAACAGCTTGGAATAGAAAAAAACATTAATTCCACTTATCTAGCGATTTTTCATATTTTTTTTAAATAGAATTTCCTATCTCAATTTTTCTTTATTCCCCTGTTGATTTCACGTTTTCTTGTAAATTTCTCTAAATGGAGAAAATTCAAGAGTTGTGACTAGAAATACAATATTTTGTGTCTACTTGTCTACCAATTTTTCCTCAATTTCTCTGGAATTTCTTCTCTCTTCTTCTCAATTCATCCAGCTCAATTTTTTCCTATTCCCGGCTCTTGAAATTGTCGAAACAAAGCAAAATAATTTTCAATTATCTACCAATTTTTTCCTAATTTTTCTAATATTTCTTCTGAAATTGAATTGTAGAAATTACTTTTTCATATAAAAATTTTGTATTCAAAAATAAATCATGGTCAAAATTAAGTAATTCTTCATTATTTATTATTTCCTTGAATTTTAATTATTGGGACGTTGGCAAAACAATTTTTCTTTTAAATTAGCTCATCGTGATGAAATTATCTACAACTGGAAACATTATCTATTAGAAGTAACAATAGCTTAATAAAAATTCTCAATAATTGAAAATACACTTTAAAAAGGGGATTTTTTTAAGAAAAACGTGATTTGTGTGTAACTTTTTGTCGTAATACTCTCTAGGAAAATATTGAGGTAAAATAAATAATGTCTAATTTTTGAAGTAGTAACGTAACTTGCATCATATTATTGTGAATTATGTTTAGAAAAGGTACCGTACCTACTTTATCTTGAAATTCCAGTAGGTTTAATTAAAACGAAAATAAAAAAAAAAGTTGAGCAAAGAATACATGGTAACATAAAATCATTAAAAGGAAAACGATAAAAATTTGCTTATAAGGGTAAAACAACTTTGAGTTATTTTTCCTCATTAAAATACTTTGAGATGAAGACTAATTATAAAAATGAGAAAATATCCTATAAATCGTAGATAAATAATTCTATTTAAGTATCACATAATAGATAATGGTTATAATATTTAAATTAAGTTGTAAATAAATCAATTTTTGTCATATTGAGGAAAAATTGTTGAATCATTACTTAATTTTCATCGAAATCCTTTATAGGTCATCTTTGACATCTTTATATGGGTTTTTACTACACGCGCCAAGGTGGCACGATGTATGGTGAAACAAAGTACCTATGTAATCTGATAAGATAATATATAAAATTTTATTTAGTTGCTTGTACACCATATGGGATGCGGTAAAATGTATTTAAAATTAAGTTCATTACTGTGTAAAAAAGCATAACTTTTCAATAACGATAATTTGCCTTATTTGGTCACGCAAAAGTAAAAAAAAATTGGTTTTTATAATTTAGACATGTTTTAAGGTTTCCAATTAGGCTGAAAGCACGCGAATTTGATTTGGGATTTTTTGAAAACAAAACGAATATGGGATAGCGGGTATTGAAATACCAAAAATTCCACATACAAATAGGTACATAAATTCAAAAATGTTATCAAATACTGCAAATATTTGATATTTTGAATAGACCTTGATAGCAAATTATCACAATTTTCTTTTTAAAAAAGAAAATCTAACATGTTTACCTAAGTTGTTACAATTTTATCGACAATTTTCACAGAAATTTTGATTAGCACTTTGGTGATTTTTAACCCAAATTAACATAAACCTATCAGACGCCTTTAAAAAAATAAATTTGACACAATTAATTATGGTAGGTACTTACCTAATTGTTTTTTTTTTTTTAATTTTTCATCAATTTGAATTTAACATCCAAAATTTAAAAATCTGTTTTAATCTGAAATTTGTGACATGAGATATTTCTCAATAATTACACGGTTTTCGTCAACTCAAAAATCACAAGTTTTTAGAGCACGATTTCGCTCTATACTTTTATTTATTTTCCAATCCAAGAAACATTTAATTTAACATGCTCATAAATTTGTATTTTTGTTACAAGTTATTATACGTTACAAGCGCTAGTTTTTACATACAATATTTTAATTTTAAATGAGAATATATTAATAGGCACAAAAAAACTAATTCAAAGCACAAACTTACCATAATTTTGTAAAATCTCAACAAACACGCAAACAAAAAAAACTGCTCCAGCCGTCATGATGATTGATTGAAAATTTTAAAAAAACCACTATTTAAGAGATAAATCAATCAAAACTTTGACATTTCTATTATAGATAGGAAAATTTTATATGTCCTCACATATAACTCCCTATAATCTAAACTACCTACGTCTTTCAATGTTCCACCGAATAGTTTGACTCGCGATTATCCTCGCTAAGCTTTCGTGCCTGATGTTTCCCCCGATTTTGTCAATCACAATCCACTTTATTATGGAAATTGATCATCGCGCTTCGCTAATATACGTAGTGTATCATATGTATACGCTAATAAAATTAATAATAGGATTTATTAATGATAATTTATTTGTTAGACGTGAGAAGAAACTCAAAGGATCGTCAAACCCTGTTAAATTGGAAATGAACACAAGCAAATAATATTTCTGTTGTTGATAAATTGATTAGACAATTCATCTAAGTAATGTATGGTTTACTGACATGTTTTCTAGTTTGTGGAATTAGACCAAAAGTATATTCTTGTGGTCACCTAATATGTACTTATTTATGCAACTAGTGCGAAAAAATTGAACTGCTGCGAACTAAAATTGGTATTCAATGCAATACTTTAAACATCATTAAAGAAGGTAATTGAACCAGCTTTCGTTACCGGTTTGTTTGTGTGTAGATGACTAAGCTAAAAGGGCCCTGATTTCTAAAAGCACAATGTTTAAAGAAATTTAATTTGGTATTGGAAAACAAGGTAACTGATTTAAAAAATTAAATAACATGGTTTTCATTCAATTCCATGAATAGAGCAGCCAGAAAAAAGTTATTGCATCCTGTCTTTTTCATGTTGAAAGTATTCATGCAAAAATTGCTCCATTCTTGGGAGCTGTGAGGAGGTGTAGACATATGTTAAATTAATACTCAAAATATTTAATCTATAATAGTTTCATCGAGCCACACTTCAGGTATATGATACTGTGCTATGGAAATGCTACCCTGGAACAGTTAAAACAGCTACAAAGACTGCAAAATAAATCAATAAAAACAATATTCTCTAGGCACTATTATACACCCAGTGAAACATTATACAGGCAGTATTCCTACCTAAAAATTGATCAGTTGAAGATGTTCGAGTAGGCAAAACTTATGTACAAAATCCAAAACCACCGTATTAAAACAAATGTGCAGACCACACTGAATAGAGAATTTCACAACTACAATCTTAGGATGAGAAAACAAATTAGAAACACCTATGCTAGAACTAAGAAGGGCCAGAACTCTCCCATCTATAGATCTATACAAACCTACAACAAAGTTCCACCCAGATTATTAGAAGGACAAGAAAATGCAGGTTACCATAATCTCAAAAAGACTTTTTAATGACAGAAACTGAAATGTTTATTAGTAGTCCTTATTTTGGAATAACTCACTTTCTGTTAATAATTATTTTAGTTAAAGGCCTCGGTACCAGTTATGTAACTGATTTGAGGTCAGAAATAAATCCTTAAAAAAAATATTGAATTCCTGCAGACAAATAAAATTTTGTTAATTTCTAATATAATTGATATTTGTATATTTAAAAAAAAAAGAAAGCAAAACAATATTCATCCATTTACATTATTTATCTCCTTCCTTTACCCTTGCCCTTTCCTTTTCCTTGACTAGCCTGACTTGGCTGGTCCGTAGACGGTTTATGCAAACGCGTTTTCAGCTTTGGTATCATGTCACCAAGATGAAGCATCAGTGTGTCTCTTGAAGAAAATGCAGGATTGACCAAAGAGCCGTCGTCGTTTTTGAGTTGAACGCGAATGCGACCTCTGTAGAGGAGTTCTTTGCTTCTTTCGCGGCTGTAGAGCTTGTTTTCAACTCCAACCTTGAAAATAATTTAGTTGATAGTATTACCTAAATAACTAACATTTGTAATATAGCAGAGCACAATAGGATAGTTATATATAGTGATGTAAAATTCCCGAAACATTCAAAAGCCGCGAACATTCTCGGAAACTTTCCGGGAATATTGGAAACTTTCGGGAACTTATGGAAATATTATTATTTTTTTTTTATTTATAGCTGAATCAGACAAATCGTATTAAGCTTTAATTACCTATTATTGTAGTGTACTGACCATAGACTATAAACCAAGAAAAACACCTATTTTTTTCTGTAAGATCAGCTAAAATTTAAACTATGTACTGAAAACACTTTTATGAACGGTTGAATAAGGCTTTAAATGAAAAGCTGATCTGATTAACCCAACCTCTTAGCCCTCTATTTTTTTGTCTTTCTTCGATGAAGATTATTTTAAAAAAAGACAAATCGGATCAGCGTTTCCGTAAAGACAGTTGGACTGGGCTACATCATCCACATAAATTGAAATGACGTCACTGAGACCTTGTATTCACAATAATTTATTCATTTATTTACGTATAAGAAAAATACATTTGAAGTTGAACAGAGTTTAAATCTAAAAAAATCTAACCTAAAACAATTCTCCTGGCCTTCGTCTTAAATTTATCCAGAGATAAACCAAAGAACTCAAGGCCCCCGCAGAACTTATTTATATTGGCAGATATTCTATACACAGGACTGAATAGTAAGTACCAGGTTCGACAGTAAGGAATTAAAGTAAAGATTTACTTCGTGTCTGATAACTTTGAATGTGTAGTTAAGGATTTTAAATGCAAAACAGACATCAAAATATTCCCTTCTGCGAACAAGAGTAGATAAGTCTAAATAACTCATAGTCAGGTCATCACTAAGAATCACACCACTCAAAGAAAGTTTGTACCTTGCAAACTTGATAAATTTGTGTTGAACACTCTCAAGCCTATTGATGTGGATCTGATAGTAAGGTGATCAAACTATGCATGAAAATTCAAGAACGGACCTGACCAGTGATGTGTAAAGAATTTTGATAGGGCGTATACTTGTAAAGTCCCTAGTAGCTCTCTTAATAAAACCCAACATTTTATTAGCCCTGCCAATTACCACTTCAAAATGCTCAGTGAACATTAGCCTAGTATCTAGATACACACCAAGATCTTTAATGATAGAAACTTCAGACAAGCGAACATTGTTTAAGTAATACTGCAAGGGAACACTATGGGTGCGTCTACTGAATCTTATACAACAGCACTTATCGATGTTGAGGGACATGTAATTAAGCTGACACCAATCGTGAACGATGTTAAGATCATTTTGCAAAATAAGTATGTCTTGAGCTGACGTCACCTGACGATACAACTTCAAGTCATCAGCAAAAAGTAAAAAATTTGAGGAGAGCAACGATCCTAAATCGTTGATAAATAAGCTGAATAGAAGGGGGCCCAAGTGAGAACCTTGGGGTACCCCAGAGGATGCATGGAAAAGAGAAGAAAGATAGCCATCAATCTTGACTTGTTGCATTCTGTTAGTAAGGTATGATTTCATCCATGAAAGTAAATGTCCAGAAACGCCGAAACTTGAAAGAAGGATGTTGTGGTTTACCTTATCAAAGGCTTTACTGAAGTCAGTATATATTGCATGAGTTTCTGCATTATTAGCAAATGATAAATTTATAATAATCTGGCATTTTAATAAAATTCTTCTGGAAATTTCTTGGAAATATTTTCGAAAGTTCTCGGAAATATTCTTTTGAGAGTTTTTAATTGAAAGTTTCCGGGAATATATCCATTCAGGAGAACGTTTCCATTTTTAATCGGCGAATATTCTCGGAAATTTCCCAATGTTCGCGAAAATTCGCATGGGAATATTCTCGACTCACATCACTAGTTATATCGAGAGTTATATAATGAGTGTTTCTGAAGCATATTTATAACTTTTCCATTTTTCAACTTATTTACTTTGATAGGAGTCACAACTTTGCCAGTTTAACCAAGTATAGAGAATCAAGTTATAAAGTAAAAGTACCACCCCCTGTAACTTTTTAATGTCTGATATGGAACATACCTTGTCAAACGATGCATAACACAAAAGGGTGTTTTTCAGTGGAAGTATTGTTTGAAAAATTAACGAAAAATTTGATTTCTATCCCTAACTTTTTATGGAGAGTAGTTAACTTCTTCTAAGGAAAACTGATAATAAACATTTTTACCACAAAGACTTCCACACTGTTGGTTTTGGCATGGTATAATTAAGTTACTTACATTCAAACCTGCTGCAGCAAGAACATCCCTTATTTCTTGGTAAGTCGGGTTTTCAACACATTTATTTCTGGGGATTCTTCTGCCTTCGGCCAAGGACTTTTTGCTGTTTATGTAGGCTGGATAGAGGCAAACCCATCTGAAATATACAATAAAAAGCTTGAAAACAAATTTAAACAGACTGTATTTGCCATATTTTCAATTTTGATTACCTTTCTCTATCGCTGTGCGTCTTATCAGGGCTCCATTGTAAAACGGGCGGTGCTCCGGAATGACCAGCCATTAGAATTTTGGTCTTACAAGTAAGTTTTTCACCAAGATGAACTCAATAATTATGAAAATTTAATTTAAATATTTGGATTTGGAACACATCAACCATCTGTTCTGTCATAAAAAATAAAACATTTTGCGGTTATGTATGAGGAAAGTAGTGAAGGCGTTTTCGTTTGGTATATTCGAGGGTATATTTAATGCGCACTGAGTGCATAAACATCTTATTTCAAGTGCACGGAAGAGAAACATTTTTTTACTACACACGCTGGCACAATGCATTCGCTTTTTAAAAGTGTAGTGCAATAATTGATATTCACTTCATAGGCGAAGAAAAATTGCTCGTGAACTCGAACAGAGCAAAGGCGGAACACAAATTGTAGCCATCTTTTCCGTGCGTTCGGTATATTGATCTGAGTTCTCCGAGCTTGAATTTACCGTTCTTTTATTTAAAAAGTGTACTCGGTGCTGCAGGCTCATTCGAGTTCGTTTATTAAAATTTCGGGCTCTCGGATACAGCGCCTGTCACAGCGTTTAACTGCTTTATTCGCTCGCTGATCACGTGATCATGGCTCCGCTCAGCACGCTCTGCTCTTTGAGCAAAATACCGAACGCAAGGTTGTCGTCCATGGTTTTGGGTTGACACTAGGCGGAGCGAGCAGAGCGATCACGGAGTAACGTTACGTCACAAGGAGTGCACCATCTTGAGCCAAATAAACTCATGCAATAGACTGCTGGGTTGATCCGATTCGTGGGTTCGGAATATGGGCCCTGTTCTGTTTTTCCTGCACTGGGCCGTTGTTTGTAATTTTTGCTTGATAACTCAAATTCGAGTATTCAAACAAATTTACAAAAAAAAACGAACAATTTTCTGCCTTTTTTATTTTTTAGGTGTACCATCCCCCAAGCTTCGACAACGGTAGCAGATTGTATTCCTTTTAACCGTTGAGCTACTCGGAGCTGCTCAATGTCAAAAGCTTGAACGTTCCTTTTAAAAGTGCATTAAGCACTCGAATCGCTTATAATGCATCCCCCTTACCCCTGATGCACCAAATTTGCGTGGGTGCAAGAAGCCCTTTTAGGTAATGTTAATAATAATATTAATACATAACTGATTTGTGTGTTTTGGAGTGACTCTGAGGAGCTCTAGGAAGACACGTTCGGTGTAACTCGATGTATAAACGGAATCCAGTAATTAACTTCATAATTTCTCGGCGCGCGAAAATGGTTTTAAAACGTGGATTGGAACTGTATTTCGAAACAGAAAGCCAATTTTGATGTGAAGTCATGGGTTCAGCGCGAGAATATACGATTTCAAACATTGTTTCAAACCTGTTTTGAACCAGTTTCAGAAAAGTGAACGCGAGAAAACAGCTATCAAGGATAATACACACTACTACTACAGGATAGCCTGTCCTCATAAGGCCCGTGTGGAACAAATCTGAAGCCCCTCACCACTTGTGTTTTCGAACGTGCCCCCGCCTTGCTGACCTAACTTGACACTAGACTCGAGCTGCTTTCCAGTGCCTAAATTGTTAGAGTATCATGCTCCTGAGTGTGACGCTCTTGAACTATTCGACATAAGCAGCACTGGAACGCTCTCGTCTTAACACCCACCATTTCGGACTTCAGGAGCATGGGACACCGAAATAAAGGTTGGTGCACGAGGGGGCAGGGGATAACAGAAATGAGTAGTTCAAGTGTACGACACTCTAAGCACTGGAACGCACAAAGTAATTGTGGAGCACTCCTGAGCTGCTCAGGAGTAACTCAAATGGGTCACTGGAAAGCACCTCACGCCAAATCACCAGTTGTGACGTAGGCAGCATCTTCTGTTATGCCTTGACGTAGGCTGTTTGCACCACAGGTTAGGATTCCCTGGGTATTGCATTATACAGGGTGTTCCGAAATTAATGCACCAAATTTTCATGGCATATTCTACGTCGAAAATAAGCCCTAGTTTCTTATATAATTATAAACATATATTACCCTGAAACGCTTCCTTTCCGAAATACAGGGTGTTGAAATTTCAAGAAAAAAACAATTTTTTTATCATAATTTTCGAACCACTTTATATAGATATTTCAGTGAAATTTTGTCCACTGCTTTCAGGCAGCAAAAGGCATTTTTTTATGAGAAATATTTTTTTAAAAAATTACCAGTGACGTCACAAAAATAATTTGAAATTTTAGGTGTTTAATGTTTAACATTTTTATCAGAATTGTGGCGATTTCGTCATGCATCAAAATGGTTTTTTATTGATTTACTTGAAAACAATGCATCTTTCGGAAAAAAGTCAAGAGATCAAATTTGTTTCAAAATGAATGGGGATTTCAAAAATGATTTTTATTTTAGGAAAAAGCAGTGGCGCACCATTTTTTTCTTAGAAAATATTTCATACAAATCCGGTACAGACGTCTCTGGTGATTTTTGAAAGAGATAATTTCACATCAAAAGATGCTTTTTGCTGTTTGGAAGCAGTGTACAAAATTTCAATAAAATAACTAGAATGGTTTGAAAATTATGATGAAAAAAATAGTTTTTTTCTTAGAGTTTCAACACCCTGTATCTCGGAAAGGAAGCGTTTCTGGACATGTTTATAAAGGAAACTAGGGCTTATTTTCAACGTAGAACATGCCATAAAAATTTGATGCATTAATTTCGGAACACCCTGTACAGTCGTGAGCCTAAAAAGTGGACATCCCTCAGTACACCCGACCACCCGACTGACAGGTCTTGTCATTTTTCGCTATTTTGGGTAGGTACCTAGTCTTTTCTCTAGAGCTGATGAGCCTGATGAGCTCGTTTTACAATAGGAAAAAACAGGTGTCCCACTTTTTATGCTCACGACTGTACATATTTGGTTTTACTACATTAATTAATATTCCAAAACAATTCTATTTTAGATCTCGTTTTCATCTTCCTCTTTGCCTATTATGTTAATCAAAATATAAATTCTAAACTACGACCGCTAGTGCAAACTTTCTCTACCGAGGAATATGGGCACTTTCCAAAACTCACCGGTTTCGGAACCGGTGCGATACCGATTTAATAGTTCACTCACCAAACCGTTCCAAAATGTACCGACTTTCTACTGGTTTGGTTGAACCCGATCGTTCGTTCCAAAATTGACCGGAATGATCAGTTGTTTGGAACCGGTGCGGAACACTTTTGTTTTGACGCACTTGCTTTGAATTGGCACTATCAGCAGTCGTTCGTTAAGTTTTTGCTTGCAGAATAAGGAAAATGTTTGTGCGAGTGCGTGAACAATTTTATCTTTATTCATTATGAACTCGAAAATCCAAACACTCAACTCAAATAATCTAAAAAAATCGTACAGAAAAGTACCCTTTGTTCACTGTTAAGAATAATAAAAACACATACATATATCCTATTCACAATCCATAGTCCAAAGGTAAAGGTAAATTTATCACCTTTCCCTATTAAATAGCACTGAAAGGTGATACATTTTACCTTTACCTTTGGACACCGGATTGTGAATAGATATAAGGTCTGTTTCTGCAGAAATCACAAACCAGTCAGAGCGAATTTCATTAGTTGAAAACAGTCAAAAACAGTCAGAAAACTAATTTTAACCAATAAAATTCACTCTGACTGGTTTGTGATTTCTGCAGAAACAGATCTAATACCAACTTTACTGCACCCAACACCACACCACCGAACATTCCAAACAACACAACCAAACTTCAAAATTTAACACCAAAGCGTTCCAAAATTAATGCATCAGAAAAATATTGTAACCGGACTTAAACCTGACCGGAATTTTTTTACAGCTACCATTTATTTAACAGGTCAATTTATCGGTGAATTTTGGAAAGTGCCCAATAGAATTTTTTCACTACTGTAGAATATAAAAAAAGGTTTTTTTCTACTACCGTGCGTAAAGTACTCACTTTACGCACTATTCAGAAGACGTAAAATTCCACTTCACGCACTAGTGCGTAAAGTAATTCACTTCACACACTGGTGCGTAAAGTAATGTCAATGACATGTTGACACTGTCAATTTAGTATTTTTCTGGTAAAGTACTTCACGCACTAGTGCGTAAAGTGAAAATACTTCACGCACTAGTTCGTAAAGTATTTGTCTAAATCTATTTTTCTACAAATATTTGATTGGTAGTAGAAAAAATTTTGTATGCAATACATGCGTAAAGCACCTTTTTCCACTCATGTGAATGTCGCACTCGCCATCGACTCGTGCGTCAAAATTCACATTCGTGAAAAAAGGTCCACTTCACACACTTGTTGCATAAATAACTATTTTCTCCAAACGTCAAAAAAACGTCACTCTGTTAACATGTCAAGATGTCAGAAATTTAATTTCTATGCTGCTAGGCAAATCCAGCGGGTTAACACCTGTCGAGGTGGTAGAAATTTAATTTCTATGCTGCTAGGCAACCGCAGCGGCAGTAGAAGTACTTTTAGTGCCGCTGGAGCGGCAGTAGAAGTACTTTTAAAGTACTTTTACTGTCGCTCAATCATTCACTTGCCCCCGAGTTTACCCCTTTCGCTTGGAGAAAAAATAGCGTGTTGCATACGGAGTAGAAGCACTTTTTTGTGCTTCAGAAGTATTGCAAGCCTCACTACGTTCGGCTCGCAAACCTACTGCTTCAGCACAAAAAAGTAAAGCTTCCACTTTTAATACAACAATATACTTATGGTAATTTCCTATGTATCATCGTCACCAAAAGTATCTGGGACACAAATAATGCATAATTATCTCCTGGACTAATTCTACTGTCATTCATTTCAATGCATTTAATTCATAGTTTGACAAATATTTGACAATAAAATTCATATAATAGGACAAGAGCTAATGTGATGCTGTCCCAGTTACTTTTGGTGACGATGGTACGCCACTTGGTACGCACAGGAACCGTTTTTTTTTTTTATTTGACAGGTTGAAATTGGGATTAAACCAATAGAAACCTGGTACGTTATGACAAATATCCTTGCGTCATGGCGTCATTCTCATCATTCACCTAGGATTTTTTTTCATTATTTTCATTATTAAACTAGGGAGAGAAATTCATTTTTTTTAGAAAAATAGATTGAATAATGAATATTTTTCAGGTAAGTAGTAAATAAAATATTGTATGTTATTCGTCCAGAAAACTTTTACAGTATCCGTTTCAAAATTAAACATCTTCACTCATACTGTAAAAGTTAATTTTACGGACACCCACCAGTGCGGAAAGTGATACTTTTCCGCAAGCGATTGCACTTTGCCAAACTACATGTAGCGGAGTTCGGCTAAGCAATCGGTGAGGCAAAGGGACTTTCCACACGAGTTGAGAACACTATTTTTTCTACTCTACGAGATGAAAGTAAATATTTGTAGGTACCTACTATATCTATAACAATTTTAGATATAATGCAGAAAAGGCGCAATTATTAGGAAATAGTTATTTTCCGCATCCGCAAGTGTTAGAAACATAATTTTTCCTAACAGCGTGCGAGAAAGCATGCGATAAGTATTTAGATATTTTTTGGCGACAGGCAATTCTGAAGGTTTTCAACACCGCTAAAAATTCGAAAATGCTTCGCGCCATAGCGAAAAATTGACCGGAAGCCATTAATTCAAGATGGTGGCAAATATGGCGGCAGTTTTTCAAAATTATATTTATTAATGCTGATAAATGCGTGATAAATGCTGATGCCATTCCATTTACGTAGTATACATTTCACTGGGTGGAGGGCTACCGTAATTTTATCCTCCCATCTTGAAATATCGACTTACATTGAAACATCCAATAATGGCGGGGGGGTTGTGGTGGGGGTTTAGTCTCATTGTCGATTTTCGTGTATAAGTTGCAATATTAGACACTTTAAGCAGGTCCTGAATTTCGAACGTACCTATCTGTATCCACAATCGATCTGCGCATGCGAAGAATAGATATCTACGGTGGATTCGTTGGTTTGCTTTGTCCGTATCGTTACTTCGTTACGGTACGGGTATAGCCTCGTATCCGTATCTGAAAACGTATCTTCCTGTCAGTTATTACTAAAATAACTTCAACAACACACATAAACACAGTATTGTCTGGCTAGCCAAACGGCGAACTGCAATAAAATTTGCTGCTTTGGTGCTTTGCCAAACTTGACGGAAACAGTAATAAACAAGTTGGTGACATTTTTTTTTTGCTATATGGGCATGTGTAGTATTTGGAAATAGAAAAATATCCGGCAACATTGCGAAAGCGGGATTATTCAGAGCACTGTTCAGAGGCATGATTCTATTGGTTAGAGCCTAAGGTTAGAGCCTGAACGACAGCACAGTGGCGTGGTTCTTAGCGTGTTTTCGCTGCAACTGAACCCAAAGTCATGGCTGTCATCAAGCGATGTCAGTTGAGGTGTCAGTGAATATTCTTAGGTTACGCCCCATTTTTCTTCCCCCTTTCGTCTCTAACAACTTACCACTTGCCAGACTATACTTATTAGATAAAAATAAATCCTACAAACGCAGCTACAAAATCACTACAACACTTTTTGAGGTTAGAAACCGTTTCATCCAAGGATACGATCGTTTACGTAATGTGTGGCCATGCTTAAAAGAACTTTTATGTGGTCAACGTAACGTAAGTCGATGCGTTTACGGATGCGAATACGGATACGTAGAAAAATTTAGGGTCTGCTTACCTAAAGTGTCTATTCTTTAAAAAAATTCCTAACGCAGCTGGGTATCTTATGAATGAAATCAGCCATGTTTCATTACAACTTCATTTCCCTCACATAGATACTTCGTAGCTTCAGATTCGTTGGTCAGACAATAGAACAAATAGAACCAGTGACGCATCCAGAAAATATGTTTGGGGGGGGCTACATAGGTTAGGTTGTGGCTTGTGACTAAATACCTATCTACAAAAAAAATTGAAGTGTCAGGGTACCACGCCTTGATGTTGCTACTGGCCCGATAGCCTTGCAAGCAATTGTTTCCGGATTTTACGAAACCAAAATAAGACAAATAAATACTTACTTATTTAAATAATATATTAGGATTACAGACAAGAAACAAAAAACTAAAATCTAAAAATTAAATCTAAACTTTATCAAGTAACTTATAATTCTGCCTAAAACTATCGGTCATAGCGTAGGTCTCGTTACTGTAAGCACCATGAGTAGTGGAAGACGGCCTCTTATGAATAATGTAGTCTTTCGGACCCGAATCTGAATCCTGAGCCGAATTTTGAGCGTTCTCTTTGGATTCCTGATTGTGATGGTAAACTCTGGTACAAGTTAAAACCGTACTGAGAAGAACGAAAAATTCTATTAGGACCATTGCCAAGCCCATACCTAGAAAGGCGACGTAGTGCGTCCGGTACCATTGGTCTAATCTATCTTGACAACCCTGAAATTAAGTACAAAGAGTTTTAGTTATACCCATAGAACAAAATATATATTTTTAGAAGATACAAACAACATTTGTGACCAAACATTGAATTGAAAATCTTCAAAAAATATTTTGAAAATATCTGGAAAAGAATATTTTTGAAGCTTCAAAAATTATTATTTGGACATGTTCAGGCATACTTACAGCAATATGTCTGTATCCATCGTGTCTATTTTGTTCCAAAGCCTGACATAAACTGGCATTGACCGGCATGGGATTCAAATAAGCATTAATTTCTTTGGGATTTTGCAAAATGCAACAAGTTAATGGAATTGCCAGAGGTTGACCCAATCCTTGAAGTCTCCACAAAGAAGTGTCGTATTCGTTAGCCGTATTTATTCCACAGCAATTAAACTAAAAATATTTAGTTATATGAAAGAGTTATTAATTTTTGTTGTTTTCATTACAGTTGTTTGTGCTAAATCCACTGCAGCTGTAAACTGATCTTGTCCACTGACTCCATAATTTCTTTGCAGGATTTTCACCAAAGCTTCAGTGTCCAGGCCCAAGCCTACGCATTGAGGCCAGATCCATACGACTGAATAAATGGTGCATTCGCATATCAGTACCGCCATTACTAGAAAAAAATACTGCAAAATGCATTAAAAAAATTAAGTCTAAAAGCATAATAGTTTTCTTACTATTGATAGTAGCCAATAGCTATGCAAACAAGACGCCCAGCATCCTAGAATGCCTGCAGTAGCTAGGATAAGGCCAAGCAAAGCTAGGCCGATGGATACGTAGTAGAGATATGGCTGAGTTAGTTCGGGAAATGGTCCTGCGGCTAGGAGTTTGGATAACAAAATGCGTTCCGAGTCGAACAGGACTAGCATACCGCCTGAGATTAATGTAAAACCACATGCCTAAAAAAAATCTGAGTTAAATTCTTTTATTTTTTTCATTGAAATCAAGTTTTCCTAAGTTATTTGAAGACACACAAAAGTAGATTTTTTTAATTCACAAAGGAGTAAAACCATATTGTTTTGTCCCAAAAGACCAAGTAGATTATGCGGTAATGGATCAAGTCGATAACGAACTTAGCAGATTACATAACCATCATATCCATAGTGGAATAATTCTGACTGGGCAGCAACAGTAGTTGTTTCCAGAAAGGCTAACGGAAATGTGAGAATTTGTGGGGATTATTCTACTGGATTGAATCAGCCATTAAAATCACATCATTGTATTACCAACTGCTGAAGACATATTTTCCAAACTTGCAAACGCCACCGTATTCAGCATTGTAGATTTTTCCGCCGCATTTCTTCAAATTGAAATAGATGAAAATTCCAAACAATATTTAACCATCAATACACATCAAGGTCTATCTCAATATAATAGAATGCCTTTTGGTATCAAAGAAGCACTGTCTCTTTTTCAACAGATTATAGATACTATAATAGCAGGATTACAAGGTACCTAGTGCAGCATGACATTCTGGTTTCTGAACAGAATTCTGACGAACATCATCGAAACCTGTAAGTAATATGCTCAAACGAACTAAAGATTTCGGCTTTCCTATAAAAGTTGAGAAAATTTTGGATTAATTTTCTTCGCTTTTCCATCCACAGACGCGTTTCGATCTATCAGATCTCATCAGTGTGGCTAGGGAAGCAAAGAAAACCAATCCAAGTTTAGTGCCTGCAGGCAAAGTAGAAGTAATACGAAGAGCGAATTTTGATAAATTGAGAAATATAGGTATGTTTACTGTATATTCTGGATACGCAAGTTATAAAGCCAAACCCTTTAAAAACAGCAGGTATTCAGCGTTTCTTTTGGAGCCATAAATTACTATGGAAAACTCATCAAAAGCCTTAATACTTTAGGAAACCCATTGGTAAACATTTGAAGAAAAACGAGAAATTTGAATGGACAGAAGACTGTCAAAGGTCATTTAAACAATTTAAGAAAATTCTTCAGTCAGATATTCTACTTATTCACTACAATCTACAACAACAAATTTTTGTAGCAGCAGACGCAAGCAATCTGGGTATTGGGGGATGTATTTTCCATAAGTCCTGAAGACTGAACAGAAAAAGCAATCTATCATGTTTCCAGAACTCCGACAGATACAGAGAAAAAATACAGCCAAATTGAAAAGGATGTTTGAGCATTAGTTTTTGCAGTTAGGAAATTTCACAGGATGATATACGGAAGATTTTTCATTTCACAAACTGATCACAAACCGAGTTCCGATCCTGTAAATAGATTGCAGAGTGTTAAAAGCATACGGTTTTAAAATTGAATATCTACATATCAAAACCACAGAGTTTGGTCTCGCAGATCTTTTGTCAAGATTCATGTGGATGAAAGAGAAGATACAGTAATTGCTTCTGAGAAAATTGAGTCAGAGGTTGTGTCATATTTTTGATGAAACTCTGAGATCATTTCCAATCACGTTCAAAACTATTTATCAGAAAACACGCAGACATTGTATTAAGAAATATTTTACACTACGTTCAATATTCACGGCCTTGCAAACATCAACAAAATGCAGATGAAATGAAGTTTTATTCACGAAGAGATGATTTATCTAGTAAGAAAATGTTTGATGTTTGGAAGCCGAATAGTAATTCCAAAAGTTCATTGTTATAAAGTACTGAAACAGTTACATCAAGGACACCCTGGACAAGCTCGTATGGCATCCATAGTGAGAAGTTATGTTTACTAGTCTAACATTGATGATGACATCACGAAATTTGTTCAAAATTCTTCATATGCAGAAGCTGCAAGGACATTAAGAAAAGAGTTATCACCTTATTGGCCTATTGCGCACAGAATGTTTGGCAAAGACTTCACATAGACTATGCATGTCCTGTGAATGTAAATTATTATTTGGTACCTAATCATAGATGCCTTTTCGAAGTGGCCAGAAGTTTTCACAACAAGAAATATAACTTCAAAATTCACGATTTTGAAGCTAGAAGAAATTATTTCCAGATTCGGAATTCCTGATACTATTGTATCTGATAATGGTTCACAATTTACTAATGAAAATTGTCAGAATTATTGTGGGGCATTCAACATATTCGTACTCACCACATTCCAATGGTCGAGCTGAAAGATTTGTGGATACATTGAAAAGAGCATAGATGGAAAAGAAAACAGAGGAACAGCCAGAGAAAAAACATATAAGCCAGTTTTTAGCAACATACAGGTCTACACCAAATGTCAGTTCTCCAGATGGAAAATTCTCAACAGAACATTTATTAGGAAGAAAAATGCGGATAGTAATGGATTTGCTGATGCCACAAGACAAATCAAGTATGTAGATGAATACCAAGAATCACAATATAGAAGATATTTTCCATGATGATCATCACTTTCATCATCATTGAGAATTTCAACTAGAAGCTTTGGTATATGGAAAAATATTTAAAAGAAATTCTTATACTTGGATGCCGGACGTAATCATTGAAAAAATTGAAAATGTTATATATGTATAATGTCCATATACTAGGCGATTGACGACGTCTTCTCAGATTAACTATATATGAATCAGCTGAGAAGGAGATATAATGATGATCAGGTTGAAGAAATCAACAATGGAATTCCACTGCATTTGTCATTGGATACTTTCAAAATAAATATATAGGTACCAAATCCATGACCCACAAATAGAAAGTAGAAATGAATATGAGGAAAATTCATCTATTAATTCTTCTCCAGCATCTCCTCAAATAGATAATGGGTTTGCCGAAGATGTAAATATTTTAGAAGAAAATGTACAAAATGATGACACAAAGAAGACTAACAACAATGTAGCAAACAGTTCATATTGTTGTTGGTTGTTTATTATTATTTATTAGGTAGTTAGTGTCTTTTCTTATATATAGTCCCTCAAATAAAGGGCGCTGAATCAACTTTTTCAAAACACACATCCTTTGTTCGCTGTCGATTTTCAGATTCAGGCATCTATATTCAGAACTGATTGGCACAAAATAATCTCACATTGAAAGTATTCATGTAAAAAATGCTAATTAGCATCAATTTACGCAACAATACCGGTGAAAAAAGAATAGTTTTCTTCATCAGTGAAAGTGCTATACCTAACAATAGGTGTAAACAAAAATCCGGTTTTGTAGATTATCGTCTGAATTCCAATCTATTAAAACAATAATTAAAAATAATGATTCTTACCAGTAAAAAAAAATTACCGACAGCCAAAATCACTTTGCTTCCAACTAGAGTTATCCCGGCCATAATTTAACTAGAAAATTTACGGACAATTCCGGCTCGACACAGTCTGACACATCATATACTCGGTACTGCCTCAACGACCCTACGCACTTTGCACTTAACTTCGTTAAAAAATAATTTGCTTCTCGGTTTAAATTGTTTTATAAATTAAATCACCTCCGAAACTATGTGCGGACTTAAATTCAATAACAGACTAGTCGTTTTTAAAAGCGTAGTACCTATTTGTTTATTATTTTTTTTATACAACTAGCTATTTGATATTCTTATTTGGTATTCTTGAAACGTTCAGCATACAATGGAAAATGATTAAAATCCATTGACGGAAGGAAGAACCAATTAACGGAGCGTGAATTGTAGTGGGGTACCATCATTATGGACGGTTCACGCCTGATGGGCAGGGGAGACCATCGTACATACATACAGATTCATATAAACATGTGTGTTTCTAGTTGCATTATTATTTAATTATTGCATTATAATAACATACATTCTATTGCAATATGTAGAGGAAAAATTTGGGTTTTTTGTTGAGATAAAAGAGAAATTTATTGCAAAATAAGATCATCTATATACGGCACATAAGTATGTGTTTTATTAGTTTTTAGAAGGTTTTTAGGATTTCTACAGTAGGTATATAGACAAAAATCTTTGATTGAATATCTTTAAAAACTATTGATGACTGTTTTCAATCAGAAAATTCTGATGTCAATGTAAAAGAGGCATCTAAGACAACAATCTGATCATTGTCTTGGAACTACGAAATTTTCAAAAAGCATATTGAGGAGTTACTTCTGGCTAAGACTAAGACTTTTCATTCTTTGGAGGAATACTTTTAATCTCATATACGTTTATAATTTTTCCCTTTTTTGATAGGTTTTGTTCTTGAGCAATATTTGAGCTGGCTCTTTGTTTGTTTCAAATCTGCTTTTTGATCTCACTTTTTTGCTCTCAATATTTTCCCTTTCAACCTTCGTAAAAAAAAAAATTGAAATGAATTAAAACTTCTTCTTCATACAGACAAAAAGAATTCATAAGACCCTGGAAAGAAGAAAATACTCATATTTCTACTTATCAACCAATTTCCCTCAAATTTTTCCTTAGTTTCCTCTTTCCACCTCTTAATTTTTATCAAATATTTTCTCTCACATTTTATCAGTTTTTATTTTGTCTATTCTCGGCTCTTGAATTCCTGTTTTCTACAAATTTCTCTTCTAATTTTTCTTAAACTTCTCCTGCCAATTTCTCAAATTTTACATCTAAATTTTTGTCTATTTTTTACTTTCCAATTTCTGTTTTCTTCAAATGAAGAGAATTCAAGAGACGGTAATAGAGAAAATACGTAAGTATCTAAAGTCTGTCGATTTTAATCTGATACTCGAAAGGAATGTGAGCTGGTGGCACCCTACATTAGAACGCCAATGGTCACCTGACGTCACACCTGTTTTTACCAATGTTTTTACCATATACTTCACCCCCTGACTGAAAGTGTCAGATAAAAATCGACGAACAATACATAACAAGCAATTTATTCTCAATTCTCTTTTTGTAATTCTTCTTAAACTTCCTTTCTCCATTTTTTAAATTTTCCATCTGAATTCTCGTCCATTTTTGCCTTTCCAATTTTTGTTTTCTTTAGACAAAGAAAATACGTATATTCCTACATGACAAGCAACCTATTCTCAATTTTCATGTTTTAGTTTTTCTTAAAATTCTCTTTATTTCTCAAATTTCCCATCTAATTTCTCGTCTATTTTTGCCAATGATTTTTGCCTTTCAAATTTCTGTTTTCTCCAGACAAAGAAAATTCAAGACGCTGGAATGAAGAAAATACTCATATTTTTACTTATCAACCAATTTCTTTCAAATTTTTCCCTAATTTACTCTTTCCAACTCTCAATTTTTATCAAATATTTTCTCTCCCATTTTATCAGTTTCAATTTTTGTCTATTCTTGGCTCTTGAATTCCGGTTTTCTTCTAAGTTTTCCAAATAAAGAAAATTCAACAGCGTGGAATAGAGAAAATACTTACCAATCAATTTCTCTCAAGTTTTCTCTTCTAATTTTTCAATTTTTCTTGAACTTCCTGTCCCATTTTCTCAAATTTTCCATCTGAATTTTTGTCTATTTTTTACTTTCAAATTTCTGTTTTCTTCTAATGAAGACAATTCAAGACCCTGAAATGAAGAAAATACTCATATTTTTACTTATCAACCAATTTCTCTCAAATTTTTCCTCAACTTCCTCTTCCCACCTCTCAATTGTTATTAAATATTTTCTCTCCCATTTTTTGGTCAGTTTCTTTTTTTGTCTATTCTCGGCTCTTGAATCCCTGGTTTTCTTCAAAGTTTTCCAAATAAAGAAAATTCCATAGCCTGGAATAGAGAAAATACTTACCAATCAATTACTCTCAAGTTTCCTCTTCCAATTTTTCTTAAACTTCCCCTGCGAATTTCTCAAATTTCCATCTGAATTTTTGTCTATTTTTTACTTTCAAATTTCTGTTTTCTTCAAATAAAGATAATACAAGAGCCTGTTATAGAGAAAATACGTGAATTCGTACTTAACAACCAGTTTATTCTCAAACGAGTTCTCAAAACACAAAATAATTAGTTTTTTTTTCAATTTTTGTCCATTCCAGGCTCTTGGACTTTTACAGTCTTCTAAATTTTCTGAACAAAACCAGCTTAAGAGCCCAAAGGAATGAAAAAAACAGAAATTTGTCTAAAAAAAAAGTTCTTCTCAATTTTGTCTATTGAATAAGCTTTCCTTCCAAGGCCCGGTTTATTCTTCTCCAGATAAACTTGCTGGTAACTATCTGTGAGATCAATTAACCCAAGGGGTAAACCACGTTAAAAAATGAGTACACCATCAGAATCCCACTTTCAACGCAGGCCCACGAAATCCTACAGGAATCTCACGATATCCTACTGGAATCCGACGCAATCCTACTACAATTCCCACGGTAGACTACTCCCAGACAGCACACAAAGTTTAAAAGACGTCTTTTTACAGTCTGCATTGTTTCTGAACGTCTGAAGACCAAAAAAAGACGTCTAGAAGAAGTCCATAAGATGCCGCAAATTCACATCTTAAAGACAACTGAGCCATTAGGTACAACCGGGCCTAAAAGTAATGTATTAAAAGGAGATTTAAAGACATTTTTAAGACATCTCGTGGAAGACGTCTTTAGAACGTCGTGGTTTCTAGGCAGACGTTTGAAAGACATTGATGGGTTTTGTAACATACGACGTCTTCCAAATGCCTTGAAAACATAGGCAGATGTTTGAAAAACGTCTTAAATATCGTTTTTGGACATCTTAGGGACGTTTTTAAGATGTCTACAAAAACTTCCCAAATGATTCGTTTCTCATTTAATTTAGAAGCTACTGGAAACCATTTAAAATCCTACAGAACACTTTATAAATCCACTAAACCGTTTGGAAATTTTGAAGCACCTAAAATTCAATTCAGTTTCCAAAACCATTCTGTAACTCTTCAGAACAATTTGGAAATTCCAGGCCCATTTAAGAATGCTGCAAAACATTCAAAAACCGATTTACAATTTCCAAAAGCATTTTAGAGCAATTCAAAAGTTTGAAACCCATTTCAGAACGCTCTAAATCATTCGAATACTCTAGAATCTTCAGAAACATTTTGGAAAGGGCCAGAATCTTAGAATTCAGGATAAAAGTTACAATTTCTAACCTTTAATAAGTAGGTACCTATTCAAATCCAAATCAGAATTTTCAGGAGCATTTTGGAACAATTTAGAAACTTCGGAGTTATTTCAGAACAATTATAGGATTCAATTTAGAACTGGAAAATACTCAAAAATCTGTCAGAACAATTTAAAAATTATTGAAAAACTTCTAAAATGCTTCAAGATGTCTAAAAGACATCTTGAATATCGTTTGTGGATATCTTAGGGACGTCTTTAAGATGTCTCGATGCTGTCTGGGCTGGAATCCCACTCGAATCCACGGAGTCCCACAGAATCCTACGGAATTCCACTAGAATCCTACTGAAATCACACGCAATCCTTAAGAAATCCCATGGTATCCCACTAGAATTTAATGGAATTCCTCGAGGAATTCCATGGAATTTCTTGTGAAGAATTATTTTGAACGCAAGCAAGCAAAGACTGCATAAAAAAGTCTTGTTTATTGTTTTTTCATAATTTGACCGCCACTTCATAGATAATTACGAACTTAAAACATCGATTGATCAAGCAAACTAAGGAATCTCATTGGAATTCCACGGAATCCCACTGGAATCTCATAGAATCCCACGGAATTCCACTATGCTTGTAAACTAATTCCAAGGTGGTTTACCTCTCGACTGGTCGATCAATGGAATTAAAGATTGCGTTTCTATCCACCAGATTGCATACCTACCTGACAGTTTATCAGAAGGTGAATAAACCGGCACTGAATCTTTCTCAGTCTGAAATAAGAAAATTAGAGAAAATCCAGAAGATTGGAACAATAAATAAATAATAATGAATAGGTTTGAGCGTTTTTCCAGATTTTCATTTCAAGTCCAAAAAATCGGGGTGGAAAGTTTTCATTGGCCCACCCTGTATTCTATCACGTAGTTAATTTTTTTTGCTTCTAACTTATTCATATTGGGGGTTTTTGTCGGACAAAGGGATTTAAATTTATTCGGATTTAGTCGAGTACAAATCATCGGAGATAAAGCACCGTCAGTTGCGTCCGAGAATTATCGATTTTTTTTTTCTAGACAAGCTTTAGATTATTGTGTCGTGTGCCCATAGTGTACCAATTGACTTCTGGATTTTGGTAAGTAGTACCAACAATTATTTTTTGGTAATTGGGATTTATTGAATCTTGAATAAACAACCCTTGATTTTCCTAATGTCTGAATTTCGAACAATCCAACTTAATTTTTTTTTTTTTTTAATTTAAATTGTAATTCATTTGATTCTCTATAACTATTGGCAATTAGTAAAATATACAGGGTATCCAAAAATTAGTTTTCGAGTATCTAATTTCATCATTAATTTTCTTTTTTTGATTTGGCTTTCCAAAAGTGCGTTAATGAAGAAAGTATAGATGAGCTTGTGTGAAGGATGAATCATCCACTGTTGTGAGATAGAATGCTGGGTTCTGG